GTAGCTGCAAGTGACAGACATTCCACCCCCTCCTACAACTGGAGCTTACTCACAGCCAGAGCTCCCCCTCCCCCCTCTGCTGTGGTAATGACATTCACCAGCCCTCCACAGCCCTTTACGGGACAACCCCCCATCCAGCCTCCCGAAGACAAGCTCTGCATTTCACAACAAATCGTGGAGCCCCCCCATATATGACCATTTGTGAAAAAGTTCAACAACCAGCATTTTAAACAAATACCAACCCAATGTCAGGGAGAAGCATTCATTTTTTCCCTCTAGCCAGCCACTGCAACGATAAGCCGTGATTTGCCCAGCCTGCTGTAGGCTGGAGACCACAATCACACACAGCCCACCAGCCAAATGGCTCCACTATCGAGTGAATTCTCCAACAGACACATTTTAGTCAACGTTAAAGCAGCCTTAAACTTGAGCCGAATAAAAAAAAATCTATCTTCAAGACACTCAAAGGTAGATTGTTCTGGGTCTATGTAGGTTATCTTACGTTATTTAAACGGTTTGAATCCAACATAAGCGCTTATTAAACGCATTAGACCAGCAAATTAAACGCTAACACCAATACACGTTGTTATCTGATCTCAATTATGAGCAGATAGATCCAGTGAAGGGGGAAAAAAACAACGCAAAGACCCTTTAATGGTACCTTACCTTTCCAGCTGAGACGTTTAAAGAACGATCCTCCTTTAGTTTAAGGTAATGTTCCTCATCAGGACGAGAAAAAACGACCGTACGAATGACTGTAGGGTTTTTAAGCTGGCTGTAAGGGGTTTACCCTCCGATGCAGCCCGCATTCGAGTCTCCGTCTCTCTCTACTAAATCACCGAGACGAACACTTCATGGTGATAGACCATGGTGTTATTTTTTACCTACCCGTTTTCAGGCAGGTCCCGCCCACCCTCGCTGTGATTGGTTAGCGGTGTTCCGCGTTCTAGGATTGGATTGGTTAGCGGTACAGTAGCTCACGCTCTTAGGCCTAAGAGCAGGCTGCGTGTGAGTTTTAACTGCTAGCCAATCCTAGCGTAGAGGGGGCGGGGATGCCTGAATATAGGTGGGAAACAAAATACGCCCACAACCCGACAACCTACGTCATTCGCCCGTCGCCCACTCAGCGACCGAGACTGCCACGGCTAGACAGCAGGACTTAGCAGAGAGGAAGTCTGGCTCGCAGTCTGTGGTTTTCACATTCTGGCAGACAGGCCATTAATGAGTTTTTAACTTTTCGTGACTGTTGGTTGCTCTTATTGTTGCGTTGTCTGGCTTTCCAGACAAACGAGTGAACAAATGAGTTGTATAAAATGTGCTGATTTACTTTAGATGACCTACTCAGACAGTTAATGTTATCAGTAGCCCTGTTTTTTTTAAATGTGTTCATTCTTTAAATGTAATTTATGTAAAACACCAGATGGTCTGGAAATGTAGAACTTCATTATAACACAAATTTAGAAAAGAACTTACCAAGTGTATAATAAAGTAGTAGTAGGGTAGATTTTAAATTGCTAACACAGACATTAGCCTCATGAAACTGCTGTAATAATCCTTTGGATAGACTAAGTAAATAATCCACCGCAATAAAATGGGGATAAATCATCTTCTGAAAGGCTAGACAATGGTTTAAGACTGCCCTGTTTTCAAATGCCCTTCAACAGCTTGACTTATTTGAGACGCCAAACTGGTTTAGACAAGTCTGCGTCATTAATACTCTGGGTTTTTTTCAAGAGGTGTTCCCCAATTAACAACATGTAATCTGCTGTAAATCAAACAGAGATCACACCTAAACTGCGGTCCACTGGTGTAAACTAGTATTCCAACTATTTTGACCTCTCATCAAAGGCTAAGAGTGCTCATTGGATCCCCCCGCGATCCTGAGCTCTCACTTTGTGCGCTTTGACTGGGTGCTCAACATTTCCAGACTGTAGGACATTCCCTACGTCAATTAACCGTGTAAGACAGATGATGTTATGTCGAATGACGAAATCAGACCGAAAGAAAAATTGTAAACAGTCTGTTAGAAACTCAGGTCTGTTACTGACACCCCAACTGCTACTCCCACACGCATACGCAAGTCAATTGTGTCTCTGAGTGCTCTTTTGTCTGTCCTATCTCTTTTTGTCTATTCTGTCTACTGTAGTGTCTGTATTTGTCTTGTGAAATGGCTAACTCAAACCAGGCGAGCATTTGCATTCCCTTTTGTCTGATTCTCCTGTCCTATCTCTCTGTTAGCATAATGCAAATAGGGCCAATTTGCATCAGACTTTGCATTTCTATGCCGCACATCTAATATAGGCTTCCGCCCCGACCTGTCTAGGGCACAGTGACTCAAAAGCTCCAAGAGGAAACACCTGTGCTCTGACCGATCGAGATTATGCAGACTTCATTATGACCCAGTGGGGTCATACTAGAAGAAATGCTTACACTGACCTGTATGTCGGCTACTGCAGTTCAAGCCATGAGCAAACAAGTCCTTCTTCTGCCCTTAATGTCAAAACAGTTGGCTTTACTATTGATCCTTATAAAATAATTTTAATATCATGCCCTAAAGAATTGTATTTGTAGATAATGTGTAATAATGTTGTATGTAAATACATGTTGTTGCATGACTGCACATAGGGGTAACTAGATCAGCTATGGCATATTTTGAATATTCTAGATTGTATCTATACTTCTGTAATTTGTTCACTACCATACTATTTGAATAAAGTTTGTTATGGACATGTGTATTCATAATCTGTCAATGAATATTAGTAATACATGAAAAAAAGAAGGAGGTACAGGCAAGTCTGTAACATATACTCTGACCTAAATCACACTGTTGACTTTATTAAAAGGTGTGAATGTGAGGAATGCCCGGTTTGAATGTTGAGCTTTGACTATTGAGGTAATGTTTTTGACAGTCATGAGTATCTCTGGCGTGAACAGCCTCAGCCTTCAGCAGAGATTCAGGTTTGGGTTTGAGAGCAGATTAGAGTTGGTGTCATGAGCTCTCCATGGCTGGATCCCTGGGGAAGCTACCGGTCGTGTTCTCATCTCAAGAGGGCTTGCAGCATTCCCCTTGGACCAATGGTATTGGTAGCAGACCTAACAATAATAGGGCACTGACTATATCTACACTGGGGCAAAGTACACTTGGTCATTTTAACCCACTGTCCTTTCATGAACCAAAGGCACTGCCAAGTGACACTAGGCCTAATTCTTCACACTGCTTCTGAAGACAAACAACTTCAGTGGTTGATATGTTATTGATTGCTTTTATATATCTTTGTATATTGGGCCATAAACACATTGAGGGGTTGTATCCCACCCCACCCCCACCCGTTTCCAGGTGAACAAGTTATCCAGCTAAAATTCACTTCTTTGTTGCAGCCTGTTGGTGCTGCTGTCTAGACACATTGCTGGGAAGGCATTGAGGTTAAAAATAGTTCAACTTTTTAAAGAAATAGCTAACTAGCAATGGCACAAAATTAACTCACCCCTGATCAACATGTTTAATATATGAATCCACAGCTTAGCTAAATGAATTCATGGCTTGTAAGCTTAACCAGTGTAACCATGATTAACTTTATTATTCCAAATGGAAGTAGCTACCATCAGTTAGTTAATGTGTTAGCTGTTGTGGCTAGCTAGATAATGTTGTTGTCTCACAAAATCCTAATGATGATATGGAATGCTCAAACTGTACTTTTCTCAAAGAAAGCACAAAAAGGAAAGTGAAGCGGAGAGAAATAGGACAATTGGTTGCAGTATAAACACAGCTGTAGCCTTCTCATGAGCAAGACTCTCTAAATCGATAAACAGCATGTTTATTACAACTTAAACTCAGGTCAAAACTACTTCCATAATAATGATCATACCCTAACCTTTATAACTAAATGAGCATTCTTTAAAGTGCATGAAACGAGTTATAAAATGTTGTACATTTAGGAGAACAATGTGATTAAGGTCTAAGGCCCAATCCCATTCCACTTAGCCCTTACCCCTCCGTTTTGTGCGTTCACGTCTGGGGTAGGGTGTCCCAATTTTTGTTGAGATAGAGGGGTAGGGCGAAGTGTTAGGGCTACACAGCCCTCCAAACAGGGGTTTTCAGAGGCTCACTCCAAACAGTGTTATGCGAAAAAGAGAAAAACATGAAAGATGGCTGCGCAAGCAACCAAAGAAACCCACAAATGTGAGTATTTTCTTTGTTAAAAATTACAATAACCACTGTATTATCTTAGTTTAATGTCGTTTCAATGTATTACAGTCCTTTTCTTCGTAATAAGCGCAAAATTCATTAGTACTATGCTGATTTCTCGGTAGCTATTTAGTTAAATTTCCTGTTCCTCCTTAAACGGTGCTGCGCCAGATTGTAAATTCTGCACCATTTAAGGTGGAACGGGAAAATACAAACAAGAATCTGGCGAATAGCTGACTTCAGCTTCATATCACTGATGGTTTAAAGGTGATAATAAATAATTGTCATATCCTCCTTCTATGAAGGCATATGATTCCCTAAATTTAAAGAAAAAAACGGAGCAGCAGTGAGGAGCTGAACTTTATCCTCCTCTGCTATCACTGCAGACTGGCAGGGTCGCCTACAGAGCAGCACTAGTAGCTGTTAATGCAGTAATGTTCTCTTTATTTTAGGGCCCCATTTCATAGGGGAAGATTTCAACCACTACCTCTTGTAACTCAGTTTCAAGGGGCAAAGTGACACTCAAAAACAAGGGTAAGAGTAAAAATAAGAAATGGGATTGGGCCTAAATGTATATAATGCAAAGCATATTTTTTATTGGTAATGAGTTGGATGACATTCTGTCATTCTATGAAGACAGCCAAATGTCAAATAATAGACTACGTCCAAGTTTGTACTACATTAAAACAAGACAGCTTTTCAAATGAGTTGTTGGGCAACTGTAAAACAAATTGGGTCAAGGAAAAGACATGATCTTCAATCAAAATGAGCCTTATTCAAATGCATCACTGTAAATTAGCTATAGAGAGGGATGTAGTTTAGTATCTTGGCCATCCAAGAGATATTTGAACTTTATTTTATTTAGCATATGTCATTGCACTTCAGCGAAATTGTCTTATGCTTGCACTGTCTAAACATTTATACAAGTTGAAACCCAGAATTATAGCCCAGCGCTACGTGGTACATGGTACAGGGAGTGATGGTGTGGTAAAAGAGCGTAAGGCTAAACCACACTGAGGAAAAACACAGCTGGCCTTCACTGCCTGTTCCCTCAGTTTTCCATGCTCATCTCGTAACACACACAACTCTCTCTCTCACTCTCTCTCTCTCTGTCTCTCTCATTCTCTCTCTGTCTCTCTCCCAGCCAGCAGGAGTTTGTATTTTTGGAAATTTCAAAGTAGACGGCTCTCAGAATATACACGGATGACAAAACAAAAAAAGAGAGCGAGAAAGAGAAGTAATTGTTGCTAGGGAACAGACGAAAAACACAACACTGCAAGAACCGCAATGAACAGCATGACATAACGGAATGAATGAAACTCAATTACATATTGCACATTTGTAATAACACTGTAATCGTACTCCTTTGTCAATATTCTTCTTCTAAGCAACTCTTACTAACTATGGGACAAGCATGAGAGCTGCGAAGGGAACAAGTTTATTATCCATCATTTTCCATAGAAGAAACTGAGATGTTATTGTTATAGTTGTATGAGTGTAATAAGTATAATACCTTTGTCATTCTCAAAAATAAGCAACAGCTTCACAGTTATTACAGTTTTAGACACTGGACAATTCAACATTACAACACAAATCAACAGAATGCACTCATCTCATTTAAAATAGCATCGCTGAGTCTCAACAAAGTAAAAATAAAATACACCATACATTTTGTGAATGTCTTAAGGTTGTCATTTAGAAAGGAAATATAGTTGAGTACACTGAACGTAAGGACACATTTTCTGAATCACACAAGCTGCAAAGAAAGTTTGACGAATTTATTTCTGACATTCAGAACGTCATCCGAACACCATGGGAGATGTTTCCAAAGCATGTTTTTTCATCTGAGAAAATAAAAAAGAAAGACACTCATGAGATCAAAGCGATTAAGTGGGAGCGATGATAGTAATTCAGTGAATGTCCATCTGGTCCCACCTGTTTTTGTCGTCTTTTCATTTGCATCTCTTGTTGCTGTTTTATTCGGACTTCCTCCAGCGTTAAGCATCCACCTGCAAATTGGAAAGACAAAGTGCGTTTCATACGTCCTTTAGAGTAACGTTAGAGCCCTCGGCATACACAGGGTGCCATCATATCATTTTCTGACTCATCTGTCTTATTTGTGACCAGTCAGACAGGGTTGAATGTAACATGACAATCAATCACTAGCACAGTACCGCCACCAAGTGGACATAACATATAGCTTAATATCTGTGTTGCTTTTTGTGTGATTGTGTGTGAGGGGTGAACAGCGTTATTTAAAAGCAGTAGTTCAGCAAAAAAGCTCAGATATTTTAACAATTTTCCACTTACCCGAAATGTAAAGACATGCTTGGAGTCTGAACTTCTTTATTTTTGCACTGGAGCTATAAAGCTAATGTAGCTAACATGTATTGGAAGCTTACACCCCACCAATTAACTCTGTACAAACCTCATTTGGGTAAAGGAACTATCACTTTACAGGGCAGTGACTCACCCACAGCACTTGGTGAGATGGAAACATAATTCATAGTCCGACTCAAGCGTAGGTCTTCTAGAGCTGCAAGTTCTGCCTCAGCCTCTGTAACACAGCCGCAATTAGGTGGCAGTTTCACCAGTAATGAACCTACAGTCACTTAAAAATAGTTACACAATAAAGAAATCTAGTTAGACTAGTTACACAAGTGTAAGTCATGTCTACACTTTTACATTCAAACTGCTTCAGGCCAGTAAAATGAAACTCACTTCTCTGAATATCTTGCCTTTTCTTGGGATTGGGAGCAAAAACGGTAAAGGCTTTATGGCTGTAAAAGAAAGAGACAGGCATGTCATGTCAGGCCTTACCCAGTTGCTTAGACAGTTAGCGTGTGAAGGTCAGAGTACTTTAAACATTCATTTAGCAGATGTACAAGCACCCAGCCACGCTAGACACGGATTAGGCCAACCACCATATGCTTTGCAGCTTTGCAGCAACTTTTATTCTGGGCCAACAACACCAGACTAGGGCTGGGCGGGCAATATCATCCAGTCTCATGATGTTTCCATTGTCTGCCTAGGGCTGGGCAATATGACAATATGTATCGCTATCGTGATAAATCCTGCCACAATACAATACAGTATGCTTTTCTATCATATTGTGCATATCGTCAATACTTGTAGAACACTGACCAACTGCATGTACTATTATAAAGAGAGCAAAATTAATCCCGTTTACGTGGATTTAGTGCAACAAAGTATGCCAAATATTGAATAAAAATCATTATATTCACAGTTTTTATATTAATTTTTTAAGATGTAGCACTTTTTTCGCTGTACCAATGATCACATGTCTGAAAAAATAAATATTGATATATCATGTATCATGAAAATTTCCTGAAGTATCGCAATATTATATTTTCCATATCACCCGGCTCTATTTCTGTCCATTACTGTGCCTCATTCAAAACTCAAACACTCCTTAAAACTTCAGTGTGAATGGGCGGAGCTAAACTGCTGTAGGCTGAATGGGCTGATATATGTAAATTCATTAGGTGACATCATAAGAACAACTTAAGTTAATGGACTGGGGTTCGAATGGCACGTTTTGAGACTTTAACCATGTTTACATGCTACATCAAAGTGTTTTATAAAAAAAAAAGTTTTATAAGATACAGTATTGTAAGCATGAACCAGACAGCCCTGCTGAAAAAGGACCGTTAGACAATATTAGGATTTAAACCTAATGGTTTTGCTTTTTTTATGGGAATTGGCTCAATAGTTTCCAACAGCTTCCTGTAGAACACCTTTAGATCCCTTTAGGAAACCATCAAATGCATGTAGAATCAGCCATTTAAAACCTGTTAAACCAGTAGAGTCCATTACATTGTGATATCGACCCATTAAAAAGCCATAACACGTTACAAATCCATCAGGAAGCAACAGAAACACCATTTTTTCAGCAGGGAGAAACAAGATTTATGGAAAGGAAAATAATTGGCTGTTTATTTAATTATGGATTTGGAACTGTTCTTTGGAAACTGAAGCATAGAGCAGATTATGCATTGCAGTCAGCTCCTGGATACCATACATCTCCAAAAATGAAATGAAAAACTAAGGGAACGATTTTAGGCATTTTATGGACACAATGTTCATCATATATTAAATATGTTGCTAAAATGTCGCTTTTCCCCCCAAATACCTTTGGATCTCAGGGTGTTTCTTGGGCTGGGCTCTAGGTGGCTGAGACTGCGAGGCTCCACACGCTGCAGTTCGTGCTTTTGTCGTCTTCGACTCGCACGATGTCGCTGCTGTTCGTGTTTTTTCGGTCGCCTTCAGTTCGCCGGGAGCTGCAGCTCGTGCTTTTGATGTCGCCTTTGGCGCGCGCCCTCTGGTCTCCACGGCAACAGGGTCGCGCGCGTTGTCATGGTAACAGCGTGGGCAGCTCGACGCCCGTTTGCCGCGGTGGCTGCCTAATTCGTCCATCCGCGCTTTGGGCTTCGTTTCAGCCGGTTTGGGCTTGAGGACTCTCGTGTTGGGCATCGCTCCTCAGTCGCTCGCTGTTACTGTCCTTAACCGAAGCTCCCTGATCTGAGTTTCTACCTCTCACCTGCCATGATTCGCAGCTGAGTGAACACGAGCGCGGGATCAGATCCTCTCAGGCTGTGTCGACTTTGTTAAAGAGTTTCTGAGGGTGAAAACCGGTTTCTTGTGACCCGTGATGGACTCGCTCTGTAAGTCCCGGCTCTTCTGGCCACCTGATCCGCTTACAGCCGGTAAAGCTGCGTGTTACGCAGAGCGACGTAGGACGCAGCGTGATGATGAATCTATCGGTCGATATGGATCACATCGATCTCAATAATCGCAAACTATCGATATCATTTAAATTAAGTACAGCTGTTTCAAAACTGCTTCAAAAATCCCATTTCAGAGTTATACATAGGTATTTATAGACTGCTGGTTGTAATGGAGCACATTCTGAATTAAGGGGAGCCCCTGATGGCCAGAGGATAGTAGGCCACCGTTGGCCCACTGAAGGCAAAGCTGGCGGCCCACTGGCGTTTTGCTCAGCGTTTTCTGGGCGATCCACTGGGGCTTAAGATGAATATTAGACAAAACTCCACTTATCATCACTCATTTCCCACTCACAGTCCATTTCCCCCCCTGCATTCCTTTCTTTAGTTATACTTTGTAAATTAGTAGATAATTTTAATCTAGCACAGCATCAGCAACATTTTCTAAAAAATCATTTTTCAAATTAATTTTTTTCTCAGTTGTTTGTAATATTTGTCTTAGTTTATTTTCTGAAATAAAAGTCTGTGCATTTAAAATCTGTTTGAGGAGATTAAAACTAGTTAGATCTTGTATATAGGACAGTAATCTGGGTGGTCCAAGGGTGGACCAGCAGAGGCAAACAGCAGGGAGCCAACCTTATCAAGCCAGTGGACGGATATATGCTCGCTATCTGGAGCACAGCTTGACCACTTTGCTTGTCAGTCAAAAGGGCAGAACAGTCTGCACTGAAAACAGAAAGTTGTATTTTTGACTAAATATTTTAACTAGAAAAAAATTGTCACAGTGCTGGTTCATCTGGTCACCCAGTATGATCAGCAAACTCCAAAACAACATATTGTCGCTGTCCAAAGAAAAAGAAGTATCGGTAACACTTTATTTGGATGGTCCACTGCAGATGCTTTGTAAATGCTCAGTCTGTCTTTGAGTAACATTCAACTAAAACCAAGTTCAGTGTGAAAGATTTGATTACATCTATCCCAAACACTAAACCTAACCCTAACCCTAATCTCAAGACAAAACTTACACCTACCCCAATCCTAATCCTAACCATAATGGTGTTGATAATCAACTGAACATCACCAGAGAGTTTGTTAATGATTTAAGTATCTGTAGAGCATCTATAGGGGACCATCCAAATAAAGTGTGGCCCAAGTATCTCCAAAATAGTCTCCAACTTTACAGGAGAGAGAAAAAACATGTTTGCCTTTCAATGTAAGTTAAGGTAAAGAGGTTTTATTCCAAGGGATTTTAGAGCATTTCTGTTGGTCCATTCATCAAGGAATTTTCACACAATGTAAAGGACAGCTGGTGTGTTGCAATGATGTAGACAAATAAAAATGGACAAAAATGGAGATTTAAAGTGTTTTTTCTGGACATCGACGATATTTTGCTGGTGACCAGCCGAAGACAGGGGCGCACAACTCCAGTCCTGGGGGTCCAGTGTACAGCACAGTTTGGTAGTTCCCCTTCTCAAACACACCCACTAAACCTGGCAATGAACAGATAAGTGTAATCAGGCATGTTTGAGCAGGTAAATCACCAAACTCTGCTGGGCACAGGCCTTCCAGGACTAGAGTTGTGCACCCCTGGCCTAAGAACTTCCATTACTGCTGACCAGCATACTAGCATCCAAAACACAACATTTTGGTTTTGCTGGTGACCAGCCATGCTGGTCTATGCTGGTTTTTCTGGCAGGGGAGACTGTCTTTATTTATTATGGACATGTATCTTTGTCTCTCAAGTCTCTTTTCTGAGTATTCTGCTTATGTTTTTATTTAAAAATATTCACACACCAGCGTGTGAATAACCCATTTGAAAATAAAAACTGATTGTGTTTTGAATTTTGCTTTTACATCATCTGTCTATCAGCTGCACAGTATCTGTTTTATTTGAAAGGGAAATACAATGTTGTTGGTGTATTGACTTAAGTTACACTACATAAGTTGCTAACTTACTTAATGGTTTTGATTTAGTGCTCTAATATACACCAATCAGGCATAACATTATGACCACCTCCTTGTTTCTACACTCATTGTCCATTTTATCAGCTCCACTTACTATATAGGTGCACTTTGTAGTTCTACAGTTACAGACTGTAGTCCATCTGTTTCTCTGCATAATTTGTTAGCCCCCTTTTACCCTGTTCTTCAGTGGTCAGGACTGCCATGGACCCTCACAGAGCAGGTAGTATTTGGGTGGTGGATCATTCTCAGCACTGCAGGAACACTGATGTAGTGGTGGTGTATTAGTGTGTGTTGTGCTGGTCTGAGTGGATCAGACACAGCAGTGCTGCTGGAGTTTTTAAACACCTCAGTGTCACTGCTGGACTGAGAACCAGTCTGAGTCCACCAACCAAAAATATCCAGCCAACAGCGTCCTGTGGGCAGCATCCTGTGACCACTGATGAAGGACTAGAGGATGACCAACACAAACTGTGCAGCAGCAGATGAGCTATCGTCTCTGACTTTACATCTACAAGGTGGACTGACAAGGTAGGAGTGTCTAATAGAGTGGACAGTGAGTGGACACAGTGTTTAAAAAATCTGGCAGCACTGCTATGTCTGATCCACTCGTACCAGCACAACACACACTAACACACCACCACCACGTCAGCGTAGAAGCAAGGAGGTGGTCATAACGTTATGCCTGGTCGGTGTACGTTTTTGATTGGTTACATGTAATCAGCCCCTAACTGATATGTTAGCGTTACTCTGGCTGCTCCATGGCTGATTTGCTGTTAAATACAGATTTATAGAAGTATTTGTATGTCTGTGCAGTTAAATACTTGTGTATGCTCATGTGCACCTACTGCTAGCTCCTTATTGAGAACAGGCCGACTATGGACAGCATTCAAAGAAAAGATACTAGGGCACTGTGGGAGGTCACTAGTGTCTATAGTGAATTCACATGGGCCTGTTTTGCACTGCAGGGCTGAACTGTTCTGAGCAGGGAGGGTAACTGTTCCAGTGGCATTTCCACACTGACACAGTTCATTACGGAGCACTTAAAAACTGGGCTCATCGTTTTTTTCAACACAGTTAGCTAACCATGTTCAAGGCCACAGAACCACAGAACCTTTAGGTGGGATGACATAACAATGTGGCTATTTGCCTCTTGGTTCTATGTTCATGTCAGTGCCTGGCATGCTGCGTTATTTTAAACCCGAAAACAGTAAAATAAGTTCAGTCCGCTCACATGGATGCCAAATAAATGAAAGCAGTGCACAATTTTCAATCCACCATTCAATAAACGTCAAAGCCTTAATCTAACAACAATTTTTAAATGTTAATGGTCCCACCAGGAGGGAGTAGCTGATTAGCATTAGCTTAGCCAGCATGCTGCCACCACAGCACTTTTTTCCAGTGCATGTAGTGGGGTGCAGCATTTTAAACTGGGAAAAATGGGTCTAGTGATGGACCTGGTTTTAAATATTGAGATAACAGATACTATTGACGTAAAGCATTAGGAGGAACAACACAATGTTTAAGAAAAATGAACAGTCTTGAATCTATCAACTTTGACCTCAGTACATTTCAGCAGGAAAATCTTCCAGATTTTAAACCCCACTAGGCCTGCTTGCTTTGGGTGACTGTTTCATATAAAATAGCCTGCACACAAATCTCATAATAAAACATTATGCGATTATAGACTGTTCAAAGCATAGATAAACAACTTAAACAACCTGGTTTCAAAGATGCGTGCTTGACTGATACAGCTCAATTGCTTCACCGTACCTCAGGCTGAGCTTTTAGACATGCCCTTTTTAGTAGCTAAAATGAACATATGAATCCAAACTGGCATCCCTTCAGTATTTTTATAAGTAAGGAAGCTTAAAATAAATGAAGGTATTGTTTATTTTACATCAGATGATTGCATTTTTAAACAAGAACATTGGTGAGGTCATGTGTTGATGTTGGGTGATTAGTTCTGGATCACAGTTGGACTTCCACCAGAGAATTTGCACTGGACAGATGGTTATAAACTGTTCTAACATTCTGTTTTTAGCTGTTCATTCACCCCCATTCGTTTGGGACTTGCTTGCGAGTGCCCTCTGGCGATTTTCAGTCATGTTTTTGATATAAAGGGAGAAACAGGAAATGGCCAGGCTGAGGCTCTACTTAAAACGGCTCGCATGGCTGAAAACAAATTCCACTTCGACTCCAAGTTATTGGTGCTCCATCCAGGGACAGATCATGGTCTTGTGAGGACCCTGCATCTTTATAGTCCCTCCAAACTTTAACAATAACACTAAGTAACTAAATAAATACCTGAAAAATGAGATTAAACAACACATTTAAAAGTTCAGAAGTTCACATTCATGATTATGTGCATTATCAGCAATGCAATTTGTTATCTTTTTGTTTTGTGTTAATGACTAATGTGCAGCATTCTCTTGTGTCTACATTGTAACAGGTTATGGTTTCTGTGGAAGCCAAACCAAGTCACAATACAGAAGCATTCTTATTCCTAGTATTCCTAAGGGCACAACACCCCATTTGAAGAGAAGCAACAAAAATCAATGAACCTGAGAACAGACAACATTTCTTATTTTATTTCATTTATCTAGTCATTCATACTTATTCAGTCTTATGACACTAATATCACATGCTAATATCACCCCAAGTTTTTGTGCCCCCTCAGGCCATACGGTCTCAGGCCACCTGTGGCCCCTGGCAGCAGAGCTGGTTTAAGCAGAAGCTGGCCACTTCCTGTGTCTCCTGTTATATGAAAAGCATGACTACAAAACGCCAGAGGGCGCCGTAAGCGAGTCCTAAATTAATGGGGGTGAATGGAGCTACAAAACTAAGAATGACCAGTTAAAATAGTTTCTAACCAATAGTCCAGGACCTTCCTTTAATTTTGGAAAGTAGAAGGATGTATTTCGCTAAACAAGCAAAGAAAACTGACTTGTATGTTTCCTTTTTCTACAGCAAACAGGTTTTGGACAGTAGGACATTAGCATTTCTGCTACTGAGTGCTGATTGGTTGGCAAACGGAGCAGCTCATTGGCTGAGTGAAGCGGTTTGCGCTCACTGATGCACATGAGGCGCTCTTATAAAGTCATATAACTAAGTTCAACAGCGCTCAAAAATATAACAGCTGTGTTAAAATGTTTTATGCTGTTCTATGTTTAGGAAATCAATGCATTCTTCTGTTATAAATTTTTCAAGCATTTACAAACTATGATTTTGCTCAAATGATCCATATTAAACCTTTCATTCTGGACACGCTTGGGACCACCCTCTACATTACTGAGCGGCAAGTCCTGTGTCTGAAATGGTCCCATAATCATTGTATCCTGCATTTGAAAATCTGAATCACTATATAGAGCACAATTATAGGGAATTTGGGTTGGTAGTAAACAATTTTGGCCACTAATGTCATACAGGTTCGCTTATTACTGTGCAACAGCAGATTCCATCGCATAAACACTATAAACGTCCTGCCCCCAGTCCACTATAACCGCTGAGTTTGATGCATGAGAAGAGCTTACTTACATCTGTAACTGGCCTGAAATGAGGCCTGTGGAGATGCTGCCGTTGTAGCTGGGCTCATTTATCCTACTCTGAGAAGTTATGCGTGAATCACCGTGTGTACACTACTTCTTGCAGTGCATTGTGGGATTGTTTGAGTGCACTGGATCTTCTACACTATGTTTTCGGACATCACTACAAAATGGCGGAACCCTAAAATAGTGCACTGTAGAGTGAACAGGGCAGGGTTTCAGACACAGCTATTCCCTGCCCTGTTCACTCTATAGTGCACTATTTTAGGGTTCCACCATTTTGTAGTGATGTCCGAATACATAGTGCAGAAGATCCAGTGCACTCAAACAATGCCCTGGGCAGTAATCCTTCTCTGGCTCCGTCGCTCCAGAGAACACAATTCCACCTTATACCTCTCTCAGCTTTATACTCCTCTAGCCAATGGTTGACTGAACATGACGACCTTAGGCTCACGTGTGGCTGCTCCAGAGCGTCCAATTCTATTTGCAACGCTTGTCTACGAAGATTATAGGCTTCAAGTTGCGTACACACAATTAAACATGTATGTCAGCAATGGGTGAACCTTGAACCCTTAATAATAATGTTTCATTTATATAGCACCCTTCATATTCACAAGGTTGCTGTACAACAACAGTCTTGAGAAAAAAAGAAAGAAGATAAACTATGAAGGAAAGGAAGGAAAGAAGCATGGTATAAAGAGGAAAGCCAAGCCAAGATAATAATAATAATAATAAATACTGTAGCGTCAGTTTAGAGTAAGACACAGGAGTGGCTGTGATTCCACCTTAACCACTAACCATAAACTTCACCCTCACAGTGACCAACACACAACACACCAACTACCCACTTCCCTGACACAGAATAACACAATAAACACATACCACATACTTTTAACTGTAAAACAACAAACATAAATAGGACAAACAATCCCTTTTCCATAGTGTGCCCGCCTGCCATGATCCTCCTGGCACCTCACAACTGTTCAGAGACCAGCGCCAGCCAGTAGCAGGTTACTACAATACAAAAAGAAAAGGCAAATAAACAAAAAAGCTCACCACACCACTTGGAAATATGGATATATTAACCTCTTATTGACCAGGGTATATTTTGGTTTTTCCATCTGAATTTACATGACCAAATCGTAAGGCAAATTATTCAGTAACTGCATGAAATAAATGTCAATTTTTATTTTATTTATTTTTTGTAAAAGTTCCCCTCAATTTAACAGAACGTGTTTTATGATCACACAAATTGCTATATGCTTACAATTTACTGCTGAAAGCCAAAAATCCTAGACGCTCTTTGTATTATTTTATAAAAATAATTTTTACAGAGCAGATCACTGAAGAGACGCCATCTGTTTATAGTTTATAGCCCAGATTTGTGGAAAAATGGGTCGACTTTCAGTAGATTATTTTTTTTTTGTGAGTTCAGCTTCTTTTATTATAAGGGTTTAAAATTACATCACCCATCTATTTGACTGGAAAGAAGACAGTTACAGCTCTCATACGACCCCCACCTTCTGAATGAAGCTTATGAAATATGAAAGTTATGAAGAATATGATGAAGTGCGTTTTGGAACCTTCGGTGGTCTCAAGGAGTTGAAAAGGTTAAAGCTATTATACACATATGCTATGACAGGATCCTCTGGTTAGAGAACTAAAGGTTCTTTAGTAAAGAAAATTGCTCTATACAGAACCATGAACACTCAAACCATGAACACCCAAAGAACCTTTCAAGAAACATCATTTTTAAGAGTGTAGCTTAGCACACATTGTAATGCGGTTAATGAGTAAAGCATGTAAAGGTGGTGAATGTTTTGTTTGTTGCTAACTGTGCAGCCCTGAGCGAGAGGAGTGATGAAATCACAGCAGTCGTGGAGTAACAGACGGAGTAATTTGCAACATAAATCCAAATCCGAACATATAAAAATTCACTATAGTTTTGAGATATGAAGTAGCTTTAAAGTGTGTTATATTTCTGGCTTATGAGCTTTTTGAAAAGGCAATTGCATCAGATCGCAACGGTTTCTGGGCTGGTCTACTCTAATGCTGACTCGATCCCTCGGCCTTCCAAGGGGTCATCTGACAGTACTCACTTGTAATGGAGTAGGGAGCCCCCAAAAGAACATGGGGGACAAATGACATGGGTTTTTCTATAATTAGTGAAAAAACCCTTTTTTTCAAAAACCATTTTTTCTCAAATTATCTCGAGATAATTATCTCAGGATAATTTTCTTGGGATCGTTTTCTGGTAATAATTGTCTCAAGATAATTCCGTCAAGATCATTATCTCAAGAGCATTTTCTCGGGATAATTATCTTGAGATAATTAATTTAAAAAATATATTAAGTCATTTCGCAGGTAAGAGGTTTCTTTTCGAACCATTATGGAAAAACCCGTGTCATTTTTTTCCCCCGTGTTCTTTCACGGACCCCGTAATGGAGGGCCCTGTGTTTGACTTATCAGGTACAGCAGCGTTCGGTCCTCTTGTCCGGCAGGCGGCGCTGTAACAGACCGAGCGCTCTGCGCGCAGCGGTTTGTTTTTTTTTCGCTCTCTACTTTTACCTTTGACGCATTAGGACATGACGGGGTTGTGAGGCTGTCGGTGGACGGTCAGTGTGAGATGGGTGATCTGACCCGCTGACTGCGGACAGGTGGGTGCAGCAGCGGCGCTGCGTGGGGAGCAACATAAACACGCGCGGTCCCGCGAGCTGCGGTTCGGGCTCGGTCCGGTCCGGTCCGGGACCGGCCGGAGGGAGGGAGGAGGGAGGAAGGAGTAGGGAGGGAGGGAGGAGCGAGGGAGCACGGCTCGTGTTCGCCACCGAGCATCCTATTCTATTCTTCTGACTTTCATTTTGTGTGGTGTATGTGTATGTATGTGTGTGTGCGCGCGCGCACACGCGAGTGCATTCCGGGCTCAGCGAAGTTACGGTGGCGATTTCATCGCTCGCTCTGCGAGGCTGAAGTCAGCTTCCTATTCGAATTCGCCCGTTCCACCTTAAACGGTGCAGCAGTTACATTCCGGCGCCTCGCTCACCATTTAAGGTGGAACGGGCATGAATAGGAAGACGACTTGGGCTCCGTGCTCGCTTTTCTGCTTTAATTCATTTCTCCTTTATGCATGGAAGGAAGTGCAGCGCGCGCGACAGAGAGAGTGAGAGCGCGCGCGAGAGAGATGTGCACGGCACGGGCTCTGTCAATGCGCGCGCGCACCCACACGCCCATTTTTTTTTCTTATTTCATAAATAGATGACCGCCGTCAGATCAATGTCAGATACCACTCGACTGACAGCCGAGGGCGCCAATCAGTGCGAGCCACCTGAGTTTAAATCCATTTTTATTTCATATTTTTTAAAAAACGTCAGTGGGGGTCTGATCTGGCATCGCTGCGGGGGTAAATGACCGTGTGGTCAGTAATATCGAGGATGAGGAAGACGCTGACACCTGTGCGCGGTTTGCTGTGTGTCCACTGTGTCCACTGTGTTGGGGATGCGTGCGTGTTTGTGTGCAGTTAGCTTAGCAGGCGATGCAACCCGGGCACAGCGCCGATTCCTCTGCATCCGGACTCTTCTGTGCTTTAGCTAAAGACAGAGATGACCAACCCAAACAAAAGGACAGTCTCATCCGCCTCTGCTGGACCTAATTTATATGAGTATTTGTTTTAAAGAGCCGAGTGCGCTCATCATCTGTGTGAATTATCGACGTTTCACTCGTGAGCGAATCGGTTCTTTTGAACCGACTCTGTCCAAATGAATCGAACCGTTTTTGTGGCGTCTGCGCTGTGTTTACGACCGTGTTATAAGTTGACAGATTGCGTACACGCTTAAAAACGGTTCTTTAGTAAAGGCAGCGGTTCTGTTTAGAGCCATGACGTCTCTGTAGAACCATTTGCATGCTGAAATGGCTCTTTGCACGGTGATCTGGTTCTTCAGATTGATGGAGGATGTGTTTATATGGTTCTGTATAGACCCTTTTTTTGAAAAAGCATCAAAAAGGGGTTCTGCTGCTGTTATGATGTCAAGCTTGTAACAGTAGAACCCTTTCTGGTGCTGGGTAGAACCATATACAACACATTCTCCATCAATCTGAGGAACCATTTGACCATGCAAAGAGCCATTTAAGCATGCAAATAGTACTGTATAGAACTCAGCTTTCTAGACTTTTCTGAAGAACCCTTGAAGAAGCATCTTTAAGTGTGCATGATGTAATAATACAATTATAATTTTCTGCATAAATGAATATTTAAGATGTAGACTCCCTTAGAGTGGTTTAGTGTGAAATGCTTTATTGTAGAAAAATGGCTAGTCAGAATTGCAGAATTGTTCACAGTGGTGGTGATAGGAACCAGACGTCTGAGTCATTTAATGCCCCTTAAAGCTCCCCCTGTCTGGGATGGTTATTACGAGAAATGGTTATGAATATAAAATAATACCCAGAGAACATTTTTTTTTCAGAGTAAGCACTGTTTTACCCCTATAAGCGTTATAAAAAGCCCAGTGCAGGGTCACAGTTTATTTTGGATGGTGAATAACAGAGTTTTAGACATTGTGACCTCTGGTTCCTATCACCACCAGTGTAAAGAAAATCAGAGTCAGCACATTTCTCTACAATGCACCATTTCACAGCCACACACTCTGAATGACTTTGTTTACATCTTAATGAATGAACTATGCAGAAAGTTTAAAAACTTGGTGGAATTCCCCTTCAAGGACAGAGAAGGAATACATTTTGAGATCTTTAAGATCGATCGCGTTTTCCCTCTGAAATATAGTGAGCTTCCTCTTTCTGTTATCAGTGCATTTTCTGCCTTATGTGTTTAGCCCTGAGTCATTCTTTGCATTGAATGTCATTTTAATGTTATGTAGAGGAGGTAAGAGCCAATATCTCACATTTTTATAGTTTATGTGATTTTATATACGAAAACAGTCGTAATTAATTTTTATATGAACATACCCCAACCTCTCTTTATCCCTCACAATTAAACAGGCTGTTTGTTACTCTGCCTTTACAACTGATATATGTAAATGCGCTCTGCTTGGATTGGCTGCTCTGCATGATGCCTCAGAAACCAGTCCAGGCAGTTCTTTATGACAGGTGTAAATGGGTGGGGCTAAACTACTGTAGGCTGTGTAGGGGGGATATATGAAAACGTGTTTTTTACTTGGAGACATTACAAAAACAAGGAATTAGTGAGTTTCTGTTTATGGACTGTTTGGACTGGGGAGTAAACGGCACATTTTGAAACAATAGTAATGTTGACATACTGCGTTAAAGCTGCACTATGTAAGTTTTAAGTAGCATAACTGAGTCGAGAGAAAAAAAAGCAACCTGTTAAAATTTAGTGTCTGTGTGCTGCAAAGCCTATAAAGCCTGAAAAAATAATTTAAAAGTCAGAGGGGTCGGATTCAGACCACTTCATACGTCTTTACATACGGACGTCACACACATAACCTCAGAAAGAACACTTGGCTCGATGTCTACGTCTCAAATGCAAAATCAAAGTCAAAGATATGATGACAGTAGTTGATAATTCACCCACATCCTCAAAAGACACATCCTTCACCAAGTTTTGGCTGAGTTCTCTGTGAATACTCTTTCGCAAAAGTCAGATTCAGGTGCTTGTAGGGGTCCGAAACACAACCGACGTTATAAAGTGTTCTTTCGCATGTTGTGTGCAATTACATATTTCCACCAGAGAGGTCTCCAAATCCCCAAAACTTATGTAGTGTTGCTTTAAAGGCAAAATCAACGTTATATTGAGCAAGATATGAAGACAACAGTAGATCATTCACCAAGTTCTCTTTGAATACTCTTTCAACACGCTCACAATCGTCACAATAATGGAAGGGGTCATTATTATTATAGATACTTCAATAATATTACTTAAATCGATTTTATATTCATTGCTTTACTGCTGTCATTGTATTTGTACTAATACAACCTTATTTTCAGCAGTTTTTTTAGACTACAGTTTCTCTCAGAATTTTATAGAAATCACTGTGAAAGTGCTCTGGGTTTATTCTGATTGTGCCTTGCATGGCTGTAATAGCCTGTTTTGTTACTCAGGTGTTTTTTAAAAGGGTGAAATGCCGTTGATAATTCATATGTGCTACTTTGTTCCAGAAGCAGAATGGCTAACCTTTAACCCCATTCATTTAAAACCCACTCATTCATTTCCTTTTCACTTACTTCATGCAGCCATTATCTGATCTGTTCTCGTGCTGGAGCGTCCGCATCTGGACCACATTAAAGTGCACTTTTTGGTCTGCGTGGAAAATAGAAAAGCTGCAACCTCTTTGCTTTTGCACAGGTGGAATTAACAGTTATGCCAGCCCACCACGAGCATTAATTTGTGCTGTAGACAGCGGAAATTAGATAAGCTGAACTTTGAGTTATTAGAGGTTTAATGAAGTGCTGAGTGATTTTTCTAGATTGGTAAATCAGTGTTCCATGCATATTAATTGACAAAAGCCATTTATGTTAGGGGCCGAGTAAAGACGACGGTGCATGGTTTTGGATATTTTAGACGAGATTTGGATTATTATGAATTTTCAATCAGCCTATTGGTTGTAGTGCTTCTTTTTTCCAGCATGAAAATAGAGGAGAAATGTATATTGGAGGAAAGAACAAGCCTCCGAGGCCTGGGAACCGTTGGATTTTGTGTGTGTGGATGCATAGTTAAATTAGCCGTACAGTCATATGCATAAATTTGAACACTCCTGGTCATATTTTACATTTTGTTGATTTGACTTGAAAATGAGTTAATGCATCCTCTACAGAGAACACACTTTAATATGGATTTTTTCTGCAAGTTTTAGAGTTTTAGTGTTTTTAGTGTCTCTGTTTATTTATTTATTTGAGTTTAACATTTTGGAAAAAAACAACAAAATATAAAACGTGCCATAACTTTTGCGCAGGCCACATTTATGTTTTTATGTTAAATTCAGCGAATAAACAGTAATTGTACATTAAAATGTCCTTATAGCGGATGTGTCAACTTACTATCTCTTAGAAAATACATTAAAAAAACCTGCAAAGTTTTGCATATGACTATATCTGTAATGAAAGTCAGAGAAAAAAATGTAATTGGTTGAAAGATACAGTAGATTTATTGCAAAAAAAAAAAAGAAATCAAGTTCACATAATTCCAAATGTAGTTTGTTAGCCAAGACATGTTTGGTGTCTTATTGATGTTTGCTTCTTTACTTTTGTAGCAGAGCGCTGAGTCTAATGTAGCTAACAAGTCACGGAAGCTTATACTTCTGCGAATTGCGTCTTGTAAACTGTATATCTAGATCGTCGCGTACTCACTTCAAGCTGAGTTGAGTTGTTTAGTGATCTCAAATAGACTGATGCTGTATGACACGCTGTTATCTGTAAATAAAAGTAAGTCGTATAGCTAAAAACAATAGTAACAGCCGTTATAAATCCTGGTTTTAGTGCATATCTGTGTCCATTTTTAGAGATAACATACAGCGGTTAGTTCTAAGAACACTTCTGGTTGAGAAGCATTCTTTCACAATAACTGCGTCATTCTGCAAAGCACCAGTTGCTAAGTAATGACTGGACTTACGTTGTGGTTTAGTGCTACTAGATTCAAATTAATACGCAAGCAGAAAATGCACACAGATAGTAGATAAGGTCTCAAAGATAATATTTGAACTGCAGCTTGTTTGGTCAGTTTCTGACAGCAGGCCTACATCAAATTGTGAACCCGTCTTTGTTCATAAACAAGTTTTTTGGTTGACGGAACAACTATGCAAACTGTAATTAGCCAAAAACGATGATGAGCTGTGAAAGGCTTTACAGACGGGCTGGAACAAAACAACATTCTTGTTCATTGGGCAAATATTGAGAAGCTGAACCTGATATTGTGGCAGTTTATGGCTCAATCCTTAAGTAAAAGGGTACTACTTCTTGTGGCGGGAGGAATTGCCACTATTAAAGCATATTTGATAGATATTTTTCTTTATTTTGCAGGACTAGCAGTAAAATAGGCAAATAACAACACGGCTGAGATAATCTATGAAACTCGCCTTCAGCTCATGCCTGTGACCGGATCACAGCCTTGTTGTTATTTGCAATAACACACTTCCTCTTGTCTTCTAATAAGTATTGCATAGTGTCAGCATGTCTGTTTGAGATTACTCAGTCTGATATAAGTCAAGTGTCTGATGATTTAGGTATGCAGTTAGCGCAGTGCTAATTGCTGTGGAATTAGCTTTCTCAATGGGTTAGCTACATTAGCCTTGTGGCTCTGGAGCAAAACTTAAGAAGCAAACTTCAGATTCCAAACACATCATGACTGATGAGTTATGTTTGCGGTAATGAGTAAGTGTTTACTGTTACTTTAATTGTACAGTTTATTCATAAACTTCCTTTCGAACTCTTTTTCAGCTTCCAGTGTCCATAGAGTGCAGAGCAATGGACAAGGAGCCTCAAGCGAAACCCGAGACTGCTAAGAGTGCAAGCAACAATGCAACGACCACCACCACTACTACTACCACCATCTCCTCCATCACCACCACTACCACCTCTACGGTGACTCCTTCTCAGCAGGCCAATGGCACTCCGAAAAGCACCCCAGCCCTTACAGCAGTCACCACCTTCCATAATCAGCCTCCCCCCACAGACAGGAAGGTTGTACAGGTAACTGTCCAGATCTGTTTTTAGCTGCCTGGTTCGCGCACATCTGCAGACTACCACTTGGCACCTTGTGTCCCCACAACATACTCTGTCTTTATGTGGTTCTTGTCTTCGTCTTCCTCTCCTTGTGCTGGTGCTCGGGTCAGGGTCAGCAACACGCGTGTTAAGAAGAGCCATTCTGTCCCATTTCTACAAAAATCAAACCACCATGGGAGTCACAGCATTTTATGTCCATTTTATGGTTGTAATGTTTTCCATCTTGGCTGTAAATGTGTCTCAGTATGAGCTAATGTCCTAGTAAAAGCTGAAAATTACAATATAATGTAATGTAATATAAAATAAACAAAAGCACAGACCTACATTGCTCTGCAGGACACTTTTCCGCAGAAGTTAAATGTTTTTTTGTTTTTTTTTAATGTCTGTCAGTGTTCCACTTTTTGGTGATTCTCGTTGCAGATTACACATATCGAGAAACCAGCTGGAGTGCATATAAATGCAAATGAGTCTGTCTCTTCATCTCTCAAGATGAACATTGAGAATTTAATCTTTCTCTTCTTTGCCATTTCGTTAGCTACTAGCTAGGCAAGATTGTTGTCCACGTTGCTATGTGACCAGCAGTCTGCGCACCAATTTCAGACCATGTATTGTTAAAACTATGTGTTTGAACGCTTGGCAAAGCTTTATTTAACTGCAAATAATTATTTTACTGCAAAGGAGGATTATTTTATTTTTATATAAAAATCGAATTCTGCTGTAGAGCAGCAAAGGGGCAGTAAAAGAGACGCATATTGCTGACCCCTGCCCTCCCGTAGGCCAATTGGCAACCTCAGGGTAATTGTGCAGTTGCTGCAGGAGGTGTATGTAGTCCAACAGCAACAGCTTCAGGGGAACTTTTTGCTCAGATAAAATGTGGAGGGGCTAAAACATATAGCTGATTCCTACTAGTAAGTCAGGGTGCAGGTGCTCCAGTTTCTTTATTGTTCAGGAACCTATGCTTTGTGATTCTCCACAGTTTGATCACCTCTTTCCCCTCCTCGTACCTCTCCGACGTCCTTCCATCTCTCTGATCAACCCGCTGTGGCCTTACTATTGGCATGGCACGAGTTCCTTGCATCCATATATATTTCAGTGCACACCTTTGATGGACGTTAACCTTTTTTTGCTACTTCCATCAGAGCTCTTTGATCATGCCATGTGTTTCATCTCATTTTCTGCGCAACAAATTGGGCACGATGAGAGGGGCATGGTTGTTTGTGCGGATTGTAATTTTCAGTCTTTTCTTGTCAGGTCAATCTGTTTGGAGACAGGCTGGCTCCGGCCTTCTCGGCTTCTGTTTCATCATCGCAACAGACTCAGAAAATGGTATGTAGCAACACAAGAGCTCACCAGTCCCCAACCCCCTTTTTATCTCCCTCTCTTGAAGAAACCAAACGACATTGCAGGTGTCATCAAGTCCTTGATTTGCATACAGAATGATTGCATCACACCCAACGTTCACTTGTACTCCTGCTTCACTCTCCGCCTCCCACTGGATAAACACTCATTCATGTTGTTCAGGGGTAGGGATGGGACAGCTACGAGGCTTAGTAATATACTTCAATAGGAATAGAGCTTTTTAAAATTGTAATAATTCCAATAACTGGGCATGTTTATCATATTTTTGAAAAGTCACGTGGATGAAAATATCCCAGCATCCTATATCCTTTTTGCTTACATACTTATAATTTGAATATTAAATAATGATACTGTTGGTGATCATTTTTACTTACTCGAAGCAGCACTACATTTATTTTTTTTGTTAAAAGTAGCATTTCTCAGTCAGGAGAAAAAAGAACACATTAAATATAGTGAGCACATACACAGACACAGCAGTGCTGCTGGAGTTTTTAAACACTGTGTCCACTCACTGTCCACTCTATTAGACACTCCTACCTTGTCGGTCCACCTTGTAGATGTAAAGTCAGAGACGATAGCTCATCTGCTGATGCACAGTTTGTGTTGGTCATCCTCTAGTCCTTCATCAGTGGTCACAGGACGCTGCCCATAGGACACTGTTGGCTGGATATTTTTGGTTGGTGGACTATTCTCAGTCCAGCAGTGACACTGAGGTGTTTAAAAACTCCAGCAGCACTGCTGTGTCTGATCCACTCAGACCAGCGCAACACACACTAACACACCACAACCATGTCAGTGTTACTGCAGTGTTGAGAATGATCCACCACCCAAATAGTAACTGCTCTATGAGGGTCCATGGGGGTCCTGACCACTGAAGAACAGGGTAAAAGGGGGCTAACAAAGTATGCAGAGAAACAGATGGACTACAGTCTGTAACTGTAGAACTACAAAGTGCACCTATGTAGTAAGTGGAGCTGATAAAATGGATAATGAGTGTAGAAACAAGGAGGTGGTCATAATGTTATGCCTGATCACTGTATGATGCCAGTTATAAATAATTCACTTGCGTTCTCGGAGGACGTGTCCGCCACCAAGTTTTGACTGAATTCTGTCAAATATTCTTTCAGCGCTCTCACAATCATCAGATTTATCTGGTTGAGGAAGAGGTCTGAAGCACAACCGACAATTACAAAATGTTGCACATTGCGTGTGATTACACATTACCACCAGAGAGGTCTCCAAATCCCCAAATCTTACTTAGTGCAGCTTTAAATTTGAGTTTTATTGGCCGTTACAAAGAAAACTGTTTCAATAAAAGTCTACTGAAGTAACTGTGAGTTGATTTAACATGTAATACTGCTTTTTACATGTTGTTCATATACATTGAAACAATACTGCAATGATAGTAGAAACTGTGATAATAGTTTTCATATCTATTCTGGTCTCACCCGTGTTCAGGCGCTTGTGGTGTTCCATTTATTGAGCTATGAGCCACCCACACTTCGCATCTGATCCAGTTCTCTAATGACTTTTCCCTCAGGTCTCAGTGCCCACCATGCCGGGGTCACCGCCACTGGTCAGAGCCAGCCAGAGCTCCACCGGCGCTGCCCGCAAGATCTCTCCCCAGACTCTGCTCCTTGGGAAGAGCCCCTGCAGCCAGGACCAGATGCTCCTGAGAGCTCAGATGGTAGGAGAGCACTGTTTCTCCACTCCTCTGCTAACAATGTTCTACTTAAATGAGCACCAGTAATAGTAGGTAATCTGCCTGTGCAGAACAAAGAAGGCTAGGTGAGTCTAGTTAAGCTGGACCATGCTTTCTGCCCTGCTGGTTTGCAAGATATACTGCTAAATGCAGTTTTCTTAGCTAGCTGATGCCAGGGAAAGTCAGAATTCTTCAGTATGATGTAGCTGTATAATTGGGTCTTAGTGGGAGAAAATTGGTCCCTCTTTATGACAGCTGTGTTAAAACATTGTTTGTCCACTTTATTGTGCTTTGTGATTCTTGCAGCCACAGCAAATGTGATATTATTGATATTGCCGATCCCAAAATGGCACCACCAACACTGCGTGACGTTCCTTAAAACTCTTGTGCTTGCAAATTTCAACAAATGGGAGTCAGTCAGTTAGGGACAGGGTCTATTCTTAGGACAGGACTTGGAGCAAAAATAGTGTGCACAAGAAATGTTGTTTCCTGTTCCTAGTGTTATACAAAAAAAAATGTTGCTTAAAATAGGAGGGACAAAGGGTCTCATTCACGTCTTGGAGAGAGGGTTTAGTCATGGATAGTTAAATCACTGTGTAACTTAAAGTTTGGGTGAAGTCTGATGTTTTAACCTCAAGCTCATGCAATGAAAGAAGTACTGTATGAGGAGCAAGTAACATTCAGAAAGCACAGTAAATAAGTGCTGTTGGTTGAACATGTTGGCTACATTTACAGTGTTAACTGCTCTTCTGCCTGCAGTACAACAGTGAGTGCCTTTGGTTAAGATGTGTCTCATTTTCGCCTTCGAATATTCCATTTGAATTCCAAAGAACGGGATATGTATTTGCTTACATTTGTAAAAAGACACAGATCAAATGATACAAAGGGTATCCACCTGTTGCTCCACCTCCTCATCTATTGCTTTATCTCTCTCATAGTCAAAGCAGCCAAATATGATATCTGAATTCCTGAGTTTGCACAAATGTCTCAGACAAGGTGCCCATTTTAAAAACATTTGAGCAGCACCTCTTTAAATAAGTTGCTGAGATTGCTGTTTAAAGGTTGCCCTTTTATATATTAGAAGTGTAGTAAGGCAGTCCTGTGGTATCACAGTTACTATCTGTTAATGCTTAATCACACCCACGTTTCACACCGAGCTCCCTGCTTTGCCTTCAATACTCAGAAAGACACACAGCAAGTTCCCCGGTGTTGAATTGACTCTTATAGTGTTCGTGTCCAGCTGGACTTCAATGTACACTGTTGGGCTGGTGATTTTCACAGTTACATCGTTTCATTTGAATTAACAGTAATAGGCCAAACGTCAAAATCAAGATTTTACGTTAAAATGTAAGTAAATGGTGAAGTTAAACATTTGTCAAGCATCAAGAAAAAGATGGGAGAATATAAAGAAAACTGTTTGCCTAACCTGGCCTGATCGCCCCATAGACCCACTGTCCCAGTTAACTGCACACATGTGTAGGGCTGTCACTGTTAATTATATTAGTAATTGAGTAACATCTACTGATGATTTTGGTGAATAATCAAGCAGCATATTGTTGAAGAAAAACATGAAAAACATGTATCTCCTTTTTTTCAATTTTTACTTTTCTGCATAATGTGAGCATGGCAGCTATTCTTTACGTTGTGTGAAAATTTCATGATGAATAGACCAATAAAAATGCTCCAAAATAGCTTAGAATAAAATCATTTTACATTAACTTACATTAAACATAAGGAACGTTTTTGCCCTCTTTTGTAAAGTTACAATTTCGGAGATGCTCGTTTTTCTTTGGACAGTGACGATATGTTTGTTTTCCTACTTTACATAAACCATAAACATTTGACACTTGTAACAGACATTCAGGTGGCATGTTCTTTACTTTGTGTGTAGTTTCACAGTGAAGCCTAACTCTCAATATTATCACAGGAGCCTGGCAGCCTGTCCAGCTTAGACTTAGTTCAACTAAACCTTTTATTTTATGTGCACATTTCATTCAGTCGAGCCTAAATATGCATGAAATTTGTTACTACAATCATATGTGCATTCCTGAGATCCTGCTGGTGTGGGTTTCCTCTCTTTCAGTGATGAACACGGAAGCCACTTGAGTGCTAATAGCTGTCCCTTGGAGAGAATCTGCTAAACATGGCTTTATGATGACTTGCCAACCCCCTGTTTGTCATTCAAATTCCTAAAAACACAAATCCACTAATCATTAAGCTAATTGATGGAGAACGTAAGGTTTAAGCAATTCATTTTTTTAAGTAAAGTAAGTGAGAAATTGTGAGAGCCCTACACACGAGCACAAAAAAATGTATGCTAAGATGGAGCAGCACCTCTTGTGCGGATGAGCTTCTAAATTTTAAAGTTAGAAAAAAAATCACTTTTTATTTTATTCATTTTGTTTTTGTTGCCATATTACTTACCCTGGTACTCTATATGTACTAACTGATCAAAGTAGGTGGTAGTTCAGCATGGTGACTGTTAGTTTAGCATGGTTGGTGCTAGTTCCGCACTGGTGATTTTGATGTACAGTGTACTGCTCTAACCTCACTTTTGAAAGTGGATGGAAACTTTGGTTTCCGAGGCCAAAGTATTTGAAAGCTTTGTGAAGTGTGTGGAGCTCTGCTTGCTTGTTTGTTCCACCCACTCTCACTGAGCTTCCTCACGCCACTTTGTTCATGTCATTTCAATGAGCCGTTACTTCCACACTTCTGAATGGTTTGGTAACTTCCTTTTTAGCAGGAGAGGCGAACAGGGGGCAAACTGACTTATGGAAAGTGAAAATTTAGTGTTAGATGATTAACATGTTTTTTTTGTTTTTTTTGGTTTTTTTTCTTTAGCGTTGTCATTGGCCATAGATTAAAAAGCTCACACACTGGGGTCTTGTGAAGGCCTGCTGTTGGTGCATGCGCACAGGTTTTAAAGGCGGAAAGGTTTCTCTTTACCACATCAAAAGCTCTTCACTTTACTGTGAAACTCACCCTCACGCCCACACAAGTAGATCTCAACACGTGGGAAACCAGTGGCTTATACATCTAGTAGTTTCTAGAAGCTTCTCGTTGCCTTTTCTTGCTTTCTCATATCTTCTTCATCTCTATATGTCTGCTCTGGCAGTTGATTCTAACGTCTGCAGTGCGACCTGATGCACCTGTCCTCTCCTCCTCCTCCTCCTCCTCCTCTTCTTCCTCCTCTCCCTCCTCCTCTTCACCCCGATTCCCCTCTTCACAGGTGAGCTTTTCACTTGATCCCGTCCAAAATCACCCCATTATTTGTAAATTCTCCCTTCAGTCACTTTCAAGGCACAGTCACAGAATGTGGTAGTTATTTGTGTGATAGTGTGTATTACTACAGCAAGACATCAGCCCATCACCATATTTGATGTTTCTAAACCCTTTCACAGTGACTGACCATGCTGACCATGCCTGTGAGTGTGTGTATGGTCTAACGTCACCTCTGTGCTCTCTCTCTCTCTCTTGGGCTCCAGCTCCAGAGCTTGACGCTCCGCCACCCTCCCCCTGGCACTCTGACCATCCCCCCGAACCTCCCACTCAAGTCTGCTGCCCCGCGTCAGCCCCCGGCCCTTTCCCGCCCGAGGGCGCCCACTTTCACTCTGAGGCCCTGCCCAATACCTTCTGGGAAAGAGGCAACAACCAAGGCTGAGGGCTCGACCCCACAGCCCCCCACACTGACACTCAAACCTCCGCCCGTACGCCATCTTACGGTTCCACCTCCTTGTAAGTACTTTCACTGAATGTCTGGTATGCTCACTGACAGCGTTTAATGAGCATGTTCCAAAATTCAGTATAAGGGTCATTCTCCATTTGGAGGGGAAACCACGTCACAGAGGTTGCAGGGTTTAAAAAAGTGCTTAAAATATTAGCTCCAAAAGTTAGTATGTACATTTACACAGTTGACCGACGATTAAATAACACTTTTCCTTTATGATTCTCTGATTTTTCTTTTTTTATCCTGTTTCATAGTCGCTCTGCATCTGTAAAACAGCTCGTCACAAAAACAGTTTTCAACAGACATTTGTATAAAACAGATTCATGTTTACTTTTTATATCATTACATAATGACATTTAAAAAATATTATTTAAAAAAAATATTTGTCTCAGATTGTGGTCACTGGTGTTATCAGGACTCTTATTTTACATTTTAACACAGTATTTTCAACTCTACTAAACTGCTTCTTTGAGTCGAGGCTCATCAGAGAGGAAGCATCTCAAGGCATGAGGAGGCGAGTCACACTCACTCACTATATTTCATTAATTTATTAATAATTTTGTTTATCAGGCAGCACATAACGTCTATGTGACACCAGTGTTATGTGCTTTAATGGCTGGTTTATTACAGTTTTATCAAAATAATGCCATATTATCATTTTTAGCACTGACTTTAAATAGTCGCACAGGGTTACCTGACCACCAATGTGTCAGCCAGTTTACAGAATCCTCAGTTTTAACTAGAATGTCACTGGAGTCACAGTCACTGGTGTTACACCATTTATACAACACCAGTGACTGTAAAACATGTTTGAAATATAAATTAATATATGATAATAGGAGATGTTAATGGACATATTAAGATTATTTACTTTTGGGATGAAAGAAATGTATTTTTTAAAAATGTATCCACCTGAATTCCCACTCCAGATGGAGAAAGACCCATATGCTAACCTTTAAGTTTTTTTTTATGTATCATATTCTTCAATAATTTTTTATTTTTAAACAGGTATTTGTAAAAACATACTACTTTATGAAAATCGACTAAGAATATACTTTCCATATCTCATCAAGCTTCTCTGTGCTTTAACTCTAACACTAACATTCAAGAACAATTGCAAAGTAACGATTACAGATAGGAGAGGAAACCACCATCTGTCCTAACACACCTCAACCTTCAGCTTGTTTTATTGTCATTAGCCTTAACTAGCACAGGCTTTATAGTGAGCCCTTCAATAGTTCAACTAATAGTTCTAACGATGGAAACTGGAGTAAATTATTAAGGAGAAGGTTGAGAAATATAGTTCTGCGTTAACAGAAGTTGAGATTGTTTGGTAATTATGGTGATTTTTTTTATCGCATTCATCACATATATTCAAACACAGGCTTGTGTAAAGACACTACTCTATGAAAGTCTACTGCTAACACGTTTTTATTATCTAGTCATGCTCTTCAGTCATTAACCTTAACATAAGCACAGTCAGAATCTCTAGCGCCTCAGAATTCTGTAGCTAAACACGTAAAGAGTAGACGAAAAAAGAGAGCCAGTATTGGCTAATTATGCTAAAGCTAGACAAACACAGTGTTCTGTCCTTTTAATGAGAATGAGAGCAAATTTTAGTTAATGTTTTATTATCCTTAACTAGCATAGTGAGTACATCTGATGTAAACAGCAGTAAAATTATTAGGTAGGTTGAGAAATATAGTTCGGCATCTTCTATTTTGGATGATGCTTAATAACCTCATAATGCTTGCGTAGCAATATGTGTGTGACGGTCTGCAGAAGCCCTTCACATTGTGAAATTTTGACTTTGTTTCTTAAAAAACAACTTTTGCAAGCCGTACCTTTTGAATTATTAAGACATCTTAAGTCTGACTAACTTTACATTAATAACTGGTGTAATCGCTTACATTGGGTGTTTCAGTTTTTCTGCCACATTGTTTATGTTTAACGTGAATGAGGTCGTTCCAGTATCTGGCGGTATTTTCGCTGTTTTCTAAAGTTTTCTACTGTGAGGTGGATCAGCTGACGAAGGGGAACGCACACACACCCGCCACTCTTCCTCACATACACATTTGGTTAGTTTTACTCACACACACATTTATTTGATCGATAACTTGATGTTCTTTATTCTTCTCATTTGCCCACTTCAACATCTTAAAGGGGAATTCCACTGAAATTTCCAGCATAATTAAATCATTAAAGTCTAAATAAAGTAATTCAGAGTGGTTTGATGTGAAATGCTCCATTCTAGAGAGACTGGAAAAGAGTCAGAATTGATGGTGATAGAATATATGATGTGTGAAGCATTAAATGCCTCTGAAAGCTCCTTTACAAACCTATTATATGACATGGTTGCAAATGTATTTCCTGATACCTGAAATACTGTTTTATAATAGTTTGGAAATAAAGTCTTGGTCTAAAATGTGTTTCACGGTAGAGAGATACATGCAGGGTGTTGAAAGACAAACAGTAGCCATAGGAAACTTATTTCTTCAGATTTATCACCATCATCACTATTACATGTAAAACCTCAGAAGGTTCACTGGTGATTTTGGTGAGTAAACAGGGAGAAGGTGGAGCAGCTTGCACACTGATGTGGAGACAACAGTCTGTTTTTCAATGTTGATAAAAAGCAAGAGATGATTGTATATTTCCGGAGGACTTGCTGTGATCGCTCTCCACTGCACATCGATGGTTCAGTCAAAAGCTCTAAGTATGCACATCATCAGTGTCCTCACCTGGGCCCTCAACACCACCTGCCCAGCCGAGAAAGCCTAGAAGCGACTCCACATCCCACAAAGGATGAATAGAGCGAATCTTCCCCTTTCCATCCTCACTACATTCTACAGGGGGACAGTAGAGAGCGTCCTGACCAGCTGTCTTACTTTCTGGTAAGGGAAGTGGTCCGTCTCGGACCACAGGACCCAACAGCAGATTGTGAGGACAGCTGAGCATCCGTTCCACCACCACAAGACTCTGCAACAACTTCTTTCCCAAGGCGGTCAGATTCTTGAATGCACTGACGCCGACTAATCTGGACCCAGAATTCACCACTAATCACACACCCCTTTACCATCACTGCACTTTTACACTTTAAATTACACTTTATTATTTGAATGCTGCTATAAAACTTTAATCCTTCTGTACAGTTTACAGTTAAAATGTTTACATTAGTTTCTTCATTACTCACATGCTGCTTTGATGTGTGTCCAGGCTTCTATATTTATATCGCTGCTGTCAGAACAAAACCTCGTATCTCCATTTTTGCCGTTTTTCAGTTTTTGACATACTTCGAAAATGCCTGTTTCCCTTTACATTGTGTGTAAATTTCATGATGAATGGACCAAAAGAAACGGCCCAAAATGACAAAAAGTCTGGTTCCATTGACTTACATTGAAAGTAAAGAAGGTTTTTCCTTCTCCTGTAAATTTATCATTTTGAAAATACGAGGTTTTGTTCCAACAACAGCGATAGGCATATGTACACATGTATGGTGCCTTTGCGTATATAATTGTTTTGTTGTCCTGTCTGGTATTTATTGTCCTGTGTGTTTATTGTTCTGTATATTTATTGTCTGCTGTATTTATTGTATATTTTGCTCTCATTTCATAATGTCATGTATCTGCACTGTATGCAGTCTTATGTAATGTGCTGCAGTTGTGTGTTGCACCATGGAATCTGAAGAACGACAGTTTGTTCCAATGTATACAAGTTATAGGGAGGAATAACAATAAAGACCACTTGACTTGACTTTAATTGACTGTATTTGTATTGTAGACATTGAGACACCAGGTTCTTATCACCACCAGTGTAAAGAAATTCATAAGTTTCGCTACAGTGAACCATTTTACATTAAACCACTCTTTAGATCTCAACCATTGAACTATGAAGAATGTTTTATGCTCAAATCCCCTTTCAAAAGTAAAGAAAGACGTATTAAACTCAACCTTTCAAGGAATAATTAATCATGTTCCATATATAAAATATAAAATATAATAAATATAGATATAAAACAATTAAAAAGCTGTAAAACCTCATTTAGACATTTTATTTATTTAATTTTTTTTGGTTTTTGGCTTCTGCAGTCTGCCACACGTGAGCACTTGGTTGGTAAAACACTCAGTACAACTCAAAGTGAAAACTCTTCACATGTATTTTCTGCTTTATGAGTAAAATTCTGAAATGACTGTCTGTGTTCCCAGCCCTGTACGCCCCAGCCCAGTCCCATGCCATGGCCAAGCAGAGCCCAGCCAGCAGCGGCAGCCTGAAAAGACCCCACAGCCAGATCAGCATCCCCCAGCACCCGTTCCCCCAGAGGCACACTCACCCCACTTCCCCTCCGACTGCACCAAAGAAGCCTCTTCCCGAGCTGAAGCGCTGTCCGTCCACCCAGCCCTCCCAAAGTACGTCAGCACAGGCCTCTCCTGTGGCCATCACGGTCCCCACTCCCAGCAGATCCCACCTTACACCACCCACCATGACCCTGCCCCTCAGCTCCTCTTCTCCAGGTGGCTCCTTGCTGGCCACCAAGCAGCTACTGAGGATCGCACTGTCCTCCGCCTCTGCCCAGTGCACCACCAACGGCCAGTCAAAGGCAGCCACTGTGTCACCACCGCATGATCTCGTCCAGCCGAAGCCTCTCCTTTCTCCAGTACTGGCTAAGCCGGAGTGTCCTGTCCAGTCACCACAGACTTCAAACCTTCAGCTGGTGCAGCTGTCTCCTTCTAGACAGACCCCGGCCAACCCACTCATCACCGCTGCACCACGGCTGGCCTCCCCCCAGAGAGCCTCCCCTCCCTCTCCTGTTCTCCCCCTTGTATCCACCAGCAGCAACTCCTCAGCACCTCCACAATCTTCCCTCACTTCCCAAAGCCCAACGTTCACAGTAGATGCATCGAAGGAGCAGAAAAGCTCCAAGGAGAAGAGGAAGCAAGCAGATGGAATGGAAGCAGCTCCCCAAGATCTTAAACTCACAGCATCCCAAACGAAAGGTGTGGAACCAAACCAAACAGCACAGAGTGTCACAGTAACGCTGCAGTCTGGAGAAGCTGTGGACAAGTCCACGGTGAGTTAGACTGGATATTTATTGTGGATGCACCACAGTATCAGCCACCCTGTATCTCGGTTTTTTGGTTGTGTTGAGGCTTCACATCTCTGTATCTCACAGGTTTGTAAGAGGCCGGCCACCTGCACGGAGGAGTCAAAGAGCGAAGGCCAGACTAAGCTGTCTCAGAAGTCAGAGACTCATTCTGCTTCGGTTGTAGCATTACCTGCTGAACGAGAGGACCTGTGTGAAGACATGTCCACTCACTCAGACAATCACTCAGGTACACAGGGTGCATCTAACCGCTGCGTTTAACTGGTTAAACTTTCAGAATGTCTCAGCATTACAGCCATAACCAGGAACTGCATGGTGAATGTATCTTGTATGTAGCAATGGGAGAACTTATAGTTGTTTTAAAGCTTCTGCTGTGTTCAGACGGTCCAGTCATAGCGCTTCTTGTTTGTGGTTTCAACCCTTATAAAGTTGGTTCCCGGAATCAGTGCTCTACACATTTTTAAGTTTTCCTTGCATCAGTACACTTGACCAAGCACGTGAGGCGTTTGTTATTTATTTATTGAGCTAAATTCGGTGTGGTAGATGAGGTGAAACGCAGAAATGTGCATATTGTGGGGTGTCTGGGTCTGGGAGCTCTGCTATAAACTGTATCCTAACAGCAAACGAGCATTCAAATGTAGTATTGCATGGCCTCACAAAGCCTTTAGGATGTGTACAGGGTGTACGTCAAGTGTGAACGTAAATAAACCACACATCATTTAAGAGCTTGAGGCTTCAAATGCAAACTAGCTTACTACATTACTTTATACCATGTTTTTAGACTAGGCGTTTGTTCATAATTGAGTAACAGATTTAAATGCAATATCAGTAGCATACAGCAGATAAAGCAGGTCAGCTGTTATTAGATTGTGCAATGTAACTTTCTAGCCTCACATAACATACAGTGGATAACTTGGCTAGCTAAACATGCAGTTTCTATTATTTGTAACATTATACTACATAAAATTTAGAGGATGGGTCACACAACGTGCCGTTTTGGAGCCAGTAGAGTAGAGGTCAGCAGGTAACCGATAAGTTTCGTTTTCACCCACTTCTGCAAGATTTCGTCCCACGGTCTAAACGCTTTGGCCTGCTCTCACCTGCTGTTCCGTAGATCGGTGGTTTCCATCTTAGTCATGATTGAAAATACCTGCCAGATGTCAAACTTGCTTTTAGCCTTCAAGCTTTACTGTCATGTATTTACACTTTCCTCCCTTAAGAGCAAACTGTTATATATTATTTATATCTGCTTATTATTGAATGATTGCCTTTATTTTATTTAGGCCATTCATTCATTTGCAGGATTTATGAACACATATGTGTTGTCCCACCCCCACCCGCACTGAGCTATTTGATCGCCCACTCCTACACACAACACTGAAAATTAGCCTCACACCACAAGGTATTGTGGTGGGTCTTGAAGACACAGACCTATACAATAGAACACAAATGATGGGAAAAGTAGCTTCTATTTATAGTTGATGTGAGGGCTCAGAACAAAATGCCAGATGTGGTGCACATTGACCTTTTGTTATGGTAAGCAACTGATTTTTAAACAATAAATCAAAATACTTAGAAAACAACTTAATATTGAATATAATTTTTGGACTCAATGAACTGAGTATATGTGTGTATGTGTATGTGTGTGTATGTATGTGTATATATATATATATATATATATATATATATCGCTGCAATGGATTAGTTCCTGCTCTTGAGGTTTCATGTCTGTAAAACGGTGCAATGCACCATGTTGCATTGCTCTCTGTCACTCTCAGCTGTTGTAGACAGCATCATAGGCAGCACTTTTGACTCAATTTCTCTGCGTATATCAGTGAACTGTGAGTGAGAAATAATTAAACCAAACACACACAGACTTCATGGTGTATAAGCAAAGAGGAGCTAAGACTCTAACAAACTTCATTGTTTTCTTTAGCCATATCCAGCCTGTCCTCTGACCTGTCACCAGTCCAGTCCTCTGTGATACGTCCATCGGATGCATCCCCTGCCAGCTGCAGCTCTCCTCCCAAATTTCCAGCCGCGTTGGACAGGCAGCCCGCTCAGAGGCCCTCCTCCAGCAACACGGGACCAGCAGAACCGCAGCACTGTCCAGATACAGCCAAACCACTCATCCTCACCCACCTGGTGGAGGGCTTCATCATTCAGGAAGGACTGGAGCCATTCCCGGTACACCACACAGCAGCCATACTGATCAGGCCTAAGTGTGCCTCGCATGACAAATGTCAGCTCCTTCAGTTTACTTCAGCTATAATCTTAAGTTTGGCATAGGGCATTTTGAGATAGTTCTGATAGTTTGAGATGTAATAGCTAATACTGACTTCTTCTGTGTCCATGCTGGCACTTAAACACAGCATCGTTATGAGCTGACAACCAGCAGTGAGCTGCGTCACACAGTGGCGTGATCTCGGGGCCTTTTGCTCACATTAAGCCGAGAAATCTGCTAAAAACAGCTGGTACCAACTGTGTTATATTTACTAAACTCCAGCAGAGTCTGACACTTGGAGATGTAAATGTAGATGGATGAGACGTGTATGAGGCAAATTACTTCTGAAATGAGTAATTTGGAAGTGAAACAGCATGCAGCACAGTTTTTGCCAAGCCAGAGAAGTTGCTGCCTGCTTATATTATAGTATATTATAGGTTTATCTATATATTGTTCTAGATAGATAGATAGATAGATAGATAGATATACTTTATTGATCCCAAAGAAAATTTTATATTATTATTATTATCATTATTATTATTGTTTTTAACCATGCTGCTCAACAAAAATATGGAAATAATACTAATTATATAATAATGAGTAAATGATCAAAAATAGGTGTATATATATATATATATATATAAATATATTTATATATACATCTCCAAGTGTCAGACTCTGCTGGAGTTTAGTAAATATAACACAGTTTTATATTTATATATATATATATATATAATATATATATATAATATATATATAATTATATATATAATAAAAAGTGGAATTATATAAAATATAAGTACTAGTTAGGTTAGGGCTAGTTAGGCTAGTTAGGTTAGATAGAGTTTAGATTGGTACTGTGTTGGCTAATATTCAAGGATCAGGTGTCAGTATCTGTATCAGAAGGGAAAAAGTGGTATCACAAGGATTCAATTTGATTATGATTTTGCAGAAAACACAACACAACATAACATCTCAGATTTCTTCTCAATTCAATTTGAGTCTGTTATTTTGATACAACAATGAATGACAAATATTTTACTTTTTGACCTTACCCTTACCCTTCTAATTCTAATCCCTCAGGTCAGCCGGTCATCGCTCATGGTGGGCCCACACTGTGGCTCGGGAGTGAATGGAGTGAGTGGGCCAGACTTATTTCCCGCCGCCTCAGAACCCCCAGACGACTCCACTGACTCGGATGATGAGAGCAGGGTTACAAACAGTGGGTACCACGTATCAGTGTTTCTGTGGCGATATTCTACTGCATGTGTGATGAATGTTATACACACTGTTACTGTACTATCAGTTTTTAATTACAGCAATAGATAAAAAATCTAACTTACACAATTTTGCCCTTACCACAAATGTAGGTGATCAGCCAAGACATGTTTGGCGTCTGACGTTTGGAGCACTGGAGCTAAGAGGCTAAAATAGCTTATAAAACACAAACATTGCATCATTGCAAACAGCAGTATCAGCCATCCTAAAGGCAAAATTTTCTCCTTACTGTCTGTTTATGGTCCATATAAGTTTTTTGTTTTTTTGTTTTTTTTTTAAAAAAGCTCAAAATAATAATGACCTGATCTTTTATCACCCTTCACAATATTATCACAATATTGTGTTATAAGTTATAAATATGATATAGATGTAATTAGCCATATAGATGGAATCAGCCAGAAATGAACCCAATACCATTCGCCAAACAAAATGGGCTGTAAGATGCTTTACAGACTGGCTGGAATAAAACAACATTAATATTGATCTGGCAACAATTGACAAAACAAAGCTAACCTTGATATTGCAGCAGTTTTACGGCTCAGTCCAATTTGGTCAGAAGATGAAACTACGCGTTTGGCAAATGGTATTGGGTTCATTTCTGGCTTATTCCAGGTTGTTTAGCTGTTCTTCTGTTCCCAGTTTGGGAATTTAGTGTAAGGAGCTGGGGAATTAACTGCTGTCTGTGCAGTGAGTGAGTGGAGTTCGTTACTCTGACGTAGCAACAAGCTGCTTGTTAAGGAACTATAATTTGGTGAAGGAACTGCGAACATTAAAACATATTAAACGCCGCATTCACGGCCCAGTTTATTAATTTCTTACTTTATTTATTTAACTGTTGTATAAAAGGAATGGAACACTCGAGATCATGTGTTATCACGAATAACATCACGGCAGTGATGATATTTTGCGATAACACACTCCCTCTCGTGTTCTATTGCTTTAACATGTATTCGTGAGAATGAGCTTTTTTTCCTTAGTGACGTGAGTTTTCACCGTTCTGATGGATAAAAAGTTCTACGTCTGCTCCTCCTTCTGCCGTGCTGTGGCTGTTGTGATTGTTTACAGGCTCCGTAATGTGATCAGAATGTTAGAGCGAAGTGGGTGTTGGTGAAAGCATGTCTACAAAATCTCCGGAAAATGTCTACAAAATGTCTACAAAATCTCCGGAAAAACTGCCGCTTGTTTGACTAAATTGCAGTGATGGTATTTCAAAATGTCCACAATAACTTTTCTTTGCACGTTTAATAACGCAGTATACTGCATTACCAATGCCGGCACACATATAGCGCGACCGCTTGACACATTTGAATGATGGTCCAACTGTAATATTCCTCACATTCTGGCAGCTGCCAAACATGCTCCGAGGAGAAAATCTGGTCTCTCTGGCTGCTTCAGGGTCTGTAAACAGGGAAGAAAAACAATGAATGGACCACCCTATTTTCAGCCAATCAGGACGAGGAGGTGTGTTTACTTTCCTGTCAGCTAATCTGATCAAGGATTTGTGTCTACTTGTCTGTCAATCATATCGCACATCCCTAGCACACAGCGCAGAGCTGTAACTCAGCCATGCAGGCGGCAGGGTACAAACCTAGTTCTGATGAGACTTGTTGCGACAGCTGGTTAAGAGTAAAAGTAACAGCAGAGAAAATGATGCGAATATTGCCAATTCTGCCACTACTTATGATGACTTACACTGTTAAACGAATCAGAAAAGAAAATGACTTGTCTAGAGTGAATATTGCTGTGGCTTTCCGGCATTAGACAGAAATAATGGAGGGCATGAAGAGTAATGCACACCTTGCTCTGTATCTGACAGGTAATTATTTTGCATAGAACATCTGAAACTAACAAAGTACAGCAACCAAGCAGCTGATTTATGCAATGCACTGTTCCAGGGAATCTTACAGAATTGTTCATAGTGCCAATAGGAACTAGATGTCTGAAGCATTTAATAGCTCTAAAAGCTCCCTCACAGAAAGTTATTAGATAAAATGGTTATGAATACGCTGCCTGATGCCCAAGACATTGTTTTCCGATAGTTTTCAGACAAGCTTTTGAGCTGAAATGTATGTTTTTTAAATCCATTCATGGCAGAGAGGGGCAGGCAGGGTGTTGTAAGGCAACATAGTCCCCAAAGAAACTTCTGTTCTAGGATTTATGACCATTACCCACAGCACACATTATTTTGGATAGTAAATAAAATGCATTGTAAACGTTGCGAGCCCCTGGTTCCTATCAGTACCACTGCTGTTTTTTTACAATGCACCGTTTCATATCAAAACACATAATCTGTGGAATTCCTCGAGTATGAGATTTAGGCATGTGTTTGAACCAAGCTAATAGTTGGCGTATAAGCTTCTATTACATATTAGCTACATTAGCCTCATAACTCCAGTGCAGAACTGATGAAGCTCAAGCACAGATCTCTTCAAAGGAGTTCTGACATTCAATGTAGTTCAAGGCACTGACATGGGATGAATATCAGACGAGAATAAGAGCTGTGTGCTGTATGTAACTGGAGGTGTGTGTGAACCGCAGAGTGTTGGACTGAATGGACATTCTCTGTATGATCTCTCTGTAGATGGTGTAGGAGGGGGACACAGGCTGGTGCTGCAGTGCCAGTTCTGTAAGAGGAAAGGCACTGCCCAAACATTCCCCCGCTCCAAACGCTTCTGCTCCAAGTCCTGCGCCAAGAGGTAGGGGTGTCTGTGAAAACTAAAAACTAAAAATCATACATTTCTCAGTCAAAATGTTCAGATGGAGAACAACACACATGGAATTTTAATGTGTACAGGGAAAAAACATATAATGCAGTGTTATATGTCTTAGCTGGCAGCTGACAAGCCGAGGATAAACTGGAAAAATCTATGTTAACAACAAAACCACTTCAATGCCACTGAGGGTTAAAAGGTTCAGTGTTGTCCCTTAGCAAATTTCAGCACCAAAGTAGTCAGCCTTGTCAGTGTTAGTGAGCCACTAAGCATTCATGCTCTGAAATTTGGATGGATGATTCGCCAATAAGCATGTTATTACCATGAGCAGTCGAAGCTATATAGAACAAACAAGTGCACACTTAACAAATAACAATGAGCCTCAATCACCAATATCTTCCTAAGTTGTTTCTTAAATTTGTTCCTGAGAAAGGTCCTAAGAAAAAGTCTACGTTAGATTCTTGACGTGTTCTTCAACCGCAGAACTGTTCTCACCTTTGTGCTCTTGAGTGTGTGGCGATTCTGTTCTTACCTGAGAACAAATCCCAATAAGAAAACACTGGCGAAGGTCAGTATCTTTGTGAAAGCTGCGTGAGTGGGTTTTAAGAAGAAGTTTCTTCTTACGAATGGTACGTGAATGAGGTGTCTCTGAACACCTCCACTACACAGTCTTCTAAATCCAAGACTGCTGGGCACGATGCTGCTGGAAAACAGAGAAAACAGGTTCTATATTTTCTGGATTTTTACATTAGATTAATGGTGTGACAATTTCAAAACATGTAGAATAATCTAATTTAAAACTGTCGCTGATACACTTCTCGGTTTCTTTTGATGGTCTGTAATTTGTCATCTTGAAACCACTGTCAACTATCTGATCTAGGCATCTGGGTGCAGCTTATTAGAGGAAAGTTTGCAGGGAGGGGGAGGGGCTTTTGTCGTACATGCACCCACAAAAAACTGGCTTATAAATCAGTTCCATATTCTAGGGGTTGTGATTTTGGGGTTTTATTTGTTAGACCGCGGAGCGGCGGGCTGCAAAAGTTGAGAAGAGAACTTTTATAGTAAATAATAAGATCTTAACATGTAAAATGTTGAAATCGAATTGAATCTTGACCTCAGAATGAATAACCTCTTGTTATACTGGTGGACTTATTATTTGTTAGACTGGCAAACGTTAACCTATTAAAGTTAACATATGAACACAAAGCACATATTCAGGCGCTCCTTGATTTGCTGTATTGAAAAATGTATTGTATTGAGACACCACCACATTGTAGAGACTTTTGTGTATTGGTTTCATATAGAGATTTAATGTTTGGATATATCTTTTTTTGCATTTAGAAGATGGTATTAAACTCAAAGTAGCGATATTGGTGTCAGCATCAAAACAGTGAATGACTTCAGATATAAGCTTTGCAGTAATAGGACGTAAGATGGAGAGGACCAAAGAAAGCACCGTGTTGGATTAGTGACATTTTCCAGGTTTAAGTTTGGGGTTTTTGCCATTCCAGAGAAGCTTCTCGTGTCTGTCAAAAGCACGTGGCTGCAGTAGACAAAAGCCTTCTTTTATAAAAGTATCTCTTCTGCAAGAAAAGTGTTTTTGCAGGGTTAACAAACCACAAATATGAAATGTCTAAATGTGGTTCCTGTTTGTACCAAAAGAAACTGACTTTCTCTCCAAGAATAACATTTTTCTCTCCAAGAATAGCATTTTTTATGACTATGTAGTCTCGACAAAGGAGCATATGATAAAATGAAATAGATCAGCTCAATTCCTTTGTGTTTTCAGGAAGAGAATTAATAAAACGCACACACACCTAATTCATATTAACAGACTGGTACAGGATGTGGTTTAAGGCAGCACTCTGAGGTTTTCTCCTAGGAAACAGCCAAAGTCTGAGGGTTGAGGGTCAAATAAAAAGTGTAATTTATTTAAATAAGTGCAAAGTATTTCAGTTTGTAAACAACATATTCTACTGTAGCAATTTAGCTGAATGTGGCAGCAATGCATAAAAAAAATAACGTTCTTTATTAACGTTGAGCTGCTTTGTGGTTTTGGTCCATCATCCTATGGTAGTTTTTTTTGTGCTGCTCTTCCTGTTATGGTTACCTCTGAAATTAAAATGGAGAAATGGGGTCATTGATGCACCGATTCTCTGTCTGTGTTTCTACTGTTCTGCTGTCCTACTGTGTTTAACCGCTTTTCAGAGTAGCCGTAAGCTGTTTTGGAGGTCACTCAGTTAAACTGTGCATTGCAGTGATGCAGTAATGTTAATGGAATAGATTCTGGAAATACGTATGATTTACAAAACTGGAACTGTTTGTAGGTGAGCAATCAAGTCTGCATTTTCCCTGCATTAAACCCGTCTAAGATGCTTAAGTAAACCTCTTTTGTAGGTTAACAGTGGCATAGTATACTGGGATGTCTCGACTTTTTAATAGGAAACATTTTAAACAACAAAAGTGAGTCTGAAGTAATTTTATTGTGCAAAATTGAACAATATCTAGACAAACCTACAGTCAATCCAAAAACATTTTGGCTGTCGAAAAAGTAATTGTCATTTTAATTTTCTAACACAGCATATTGGAGTTGAAATAAATAATGAATATGAGCTCAATATGCAGAGTTTTGGTGTTTACATCCAATTTGGGTAAATAATGTAGGAATTACAACTATTTCCAGCCCCATTTGGCCTCTTATTTGGCAGCTTCTTGTTTGAATTTTCCGTTCCACCTTGAACGGTGCTGCAGTTACATATCACCACCTGTGCCATTTAAGGTGGAACTGGGAATTCGAATAAGAAGTCAACTTCAGCCTTTTCAAATTCCTCAAGTTATTTGTCTCATATGTGTGTCCTCTATACTTGTGCTCTCTGTCAGACAATGCCAGAAACTGGAAAATATTACAGTCGCTCGTGCTTCTGAATCAGCTGGTCCATGGCTTGCTTTGCACACAAGCGTTTGACGTTGTGTTCATCAGATGAAGCTAACAGAGTTAGGCAGCTCCTCATGTGGTAGAAGAGCAGCAAGCACTCTAGTGTCAATACTAGACTAAGGCTAACTCCACTATTCCTTAATGTTCACTGTCTTGAAAACAAAGCGGACTAGCTCAGATGTACTACATACTAGACAGCGGGAGGTGATGGAGGTTTATCATTCTCATTTGAAATGTGCCTGAAGCATCTGTGATCATAGATCTATAAACAAGCTAACATCAGCATGATTGCCGCTCTCTGTACGTCGCATTATCTGCGCTTATTTGTGGCATACTGGTCTAACAGTTATGACTAAACTCATACCTGACGAAGAATTTCAACCAGTTTACCAGATGAACTTTTATCTTACCCACGACTAACTTTCAGCCCTCATTGCTCACTAGCAGCACAACACAGAGTCACAGTATTTCTCACAGACAGCCAACAGTGTCCAAGTTAGAATAATAAAGAGAGTTAAGAAGAAAATATTTTATTTGATTATATCAGTTCGAAATAAGTTGATTTCACTATGCATGCAGGCACAGGCTACTTGTCAGCCTTTGCAGCCAGTAAACTGGGGAGTTATTGACTCATTGACAAGCTTATATTGACTAGACATGAACACTACCTGAACTGAACACACATTTGGAACAAACTCATTTATTACACACTTACAAGTAATTAAATATTGTTATGTTAAATGCAAAGCATTATAAAGTCATTTGAGGGATGTTGAAGTACGGTTTGCAAATATTCATTATTTTGCCATGTGCAAGCCCTGCGAGTGGACAAAATAGCCCTTGTGGCCTGTTGGTCCTATTATAAATACACTGGGGAAACCCCACACATGTGTGAACAGCATACAATCAACCTTTATCACAAATCTGTGTATGACTTCATCTGAAGTGCTAAGATGAGATGCAACTAAAGGCAGTGACCTCATTCATCATCCTGCCTCATTTAACCATCTCTAGGTTCAGTTACACCAAGCGCTTCCGTGCACTGAGACGCTGTGTGAGCGAAGGGGGGCATCAGTCCGAGTTCAACGGAGCAGAGGACGAGATTGAGGTGGAAAGCTTTCAACAGGTCAGTTCTTTTCAACAGCTCACTTTGTCTAGGTTAAACTGAAAAAAATGTGTTTATGGTAAATCAGTCAGCCCAGTGGTTTCCCTCTCCTGCCCTAAGCATGTTTCCCCTGCTTTAACCACCCAGTTTAGCTCAGGGAGGGCTTGTTATCCATATAGATTTATACCTACATAACATATATATCATGTTCATAGTACTTACTAAATAATGTATTGTAGTTACTGAGTAATAAACCTGTTGTTTAACAGGATTAACTGATTTGTTGGCTCAGGTGTGAGCAGGAAAAACTCTCAAGAAAACATGCAGGACAGGGATACTTCAAATGAGACCAGGAGCAAGTCAAGATCAAATCTAAATGAGAGTGAGAGCAAGTTGAGATTCAGTCCAGTTGAAAGCATTGGCAAGTCGAGATTGATTCCGAATGAGAGCGAGAGCAAGTCGAGATCAAGTCCAAATGAGAGCGAGAGCAAGTTAAGATTGAGTCCAAATAAGAGTGAGAGCAAGTCGAGATTGAGTCCAAATGAGAGTGAGAGCAACAATGAAAGAAAAATAAAGGGAAGAATGATGAAGGAAAGAAGACAGGAAGAAAGGAAAAGAAATTAGACTGTATGTACAACTTTGTCTCAGATCTCTTTCTCTACCTGCAAACACAAATGTGGTGGTTTTCATAGCTAAATGGCTAAATCAAACACAAACAGGTGCAATGATTTGGTTTTAAGTTACTTGAGTATGAGTTGTGACAGTCAAAAAGAAAATGCAAATAAATACAATTGTTTTCAATGATAGTTCTACACAGTCAGGACCAGAGACTAAATCTAAGCTCTTTTAGTGGCTATTTTTTCCTCTTGATATGTAATATGATCAGCATCAGTTAGTGCAGCAGCTTCATAAGCAACCTAAATGTATATTCCCCAAACCTGTCTGGACACTATGGTTTATAAACAGTTATTCATTACAGTAAAATAAATACTGTAGTATTAAATATTGTTATTGTTTCTGTTCCATAAATAAACACACGTAGGTTTTTCAGTGTCCATTGTTGCACCTCTTTCAGGTGAAACATGGTGCCACGGAGCAGTGGAGGATCCTTCAGCGCCCCCCGCTGGAGGGAGAGGATGGAGCAGCTGCTCCTATGAAGACCAGGCTACGCAGGCACACGGAGCACGGCACACGCGAACGAGAGACCAGACCCAGAGAGACCGTCGGAGAGACAAGGAGCGCTCCCACCTCCCCATTAGACCCAGTGTCCCCCGCTGACCTCTCCTCACGACCCAAACCTTCACAGTGGACAGTAGACCAAGTCTGGAGCTTTATATCCAATTTACCAGGTGAGATCATTCAAAACCTCAAACACACCCAACTCCAGACGCAGACTCAGACATTTAGAGACGTTCTGATTTTATTCTTTCCTTCTTTATTCCTTTTCCTTCTCTTACTTTCTCTCTTCATTTCCTTGCTTCTTTATTTCATTATTTATTTTTTCATTCCTTTGTTTTTATACTTTTTCATTTTCTTTCTTTTTCTTGCATTGATTTTTTTTAATTTTTTTATTTTATTTTGCTTTCTTTCCTTTTCTTCCATTTTTCATTTATTCCTTTATATTTATTTTTATTTCCTCCTTTCTTTTTTTATTCTACATTCTTTGTCTTTCTTTCTTTCCTTTTGCTTCTGTTTTCTTTTTGCTTTCATTGTTTTTGTTTTATTTCTTTTTCATTCTTTTTACTTTTTCCTTTCTTTCTGTCCTTTTTGTCTTCTTTCATATTTCCTCCCGTTTTCGTTTCTTTTTTTATTTTTTATTTTTTATTATTCTTTTCTCCTTATTTCTTTTTCCCCTTTCTTTCATTGTTTTTCTTTCTTTCATATTTCTTTATTATTTATTCATTTATTTTTTTCTGTATTTTTTTTTCCTTTCTTTCTGTCATTTTTCCCTCATCATTCTTCCCTTTTGTTTATTTTTCTTTCATTGTTTTTCATCATTCTTTTTTGTTTGTCTCTTTCTTTCTTCCAATTTCTTTGTCTTTTTCATTGTTGTGCTGTATTTCTTTTTTCATTTTTTCATTCATTCTTTCTCTTTTATATTCTTTCTTTTTCTTTTTTCATTCGTTCTTTCTCTTTTTATTTTTCCTTTATTCTTTCTTTCTTTCTTTCTTTCTTTCTGTCTTTCTTTCCTTCTGTTGTCTTTGCTACTATATTTTAATGAATGCCAACTCCTCCTGACCTTCTCAGGGTGTCAGGACATTGCCGAATCCTTTCGGGCGCAGGAGATTGACGGACAGGCCTTGCTACTGCTCACCGAAGACCACCTAATGAGTGCCATGAATGTCAAACTAGGGCCAGCGCTCAAAATCTGCGCCCGAATCAACTCGCTGAAGGAGGGAGGGAGGTAAAGAGACGAAGACACAGAAAAGGAACGAGAGACCCAAAAGGAGAGGTTTGCCCTTTGCGGACGATCAGAGCACTTGCCAATAGAATAGAGCCATTTTGTGCACTTTAATCTTAAGAGATTTACGCGATAAAGTCAACGTGTTGAGATAACTTGTGTGTATTTGCTTGAACTGAGCTAGCATAACATTACAGTAGCCTACCAGTAACCTTAGCCTCTGTCTGAAAGCATGATAGCAATATGATGGTCTCTTTCTGTGAGCATAATACAAGATCTATACACAGTCATAGTAGGAGGGAAATGTTCGTGTCTGCTTTTTGTATGGGTTTTTCTCATAATCAGGGTCGTCGAGTTTATATTTTTCACTGCGAGGAAAGGATCACTTCCCGTGTCTGTGGAGAAGCTAGAAAAGAACGGAAGTGCTATTATCGTGAGCATGTCCCATTGTAGATATTTTCTTATTGTACTGTATATGTGTACATGTATAACAATGCAGTGCTCTGTGTGTATAAATCTATACAAATGTTTTGTGAAGGATTTGTAATATTTAATATATTTGTCTTCTAAGGCTCTAGCAAATACAAATGCAAGTGATTTCAAATTTTTAAGCATTTTTAAATGACGTTTGACATGCTGACAGGATTACATAGGCTAAAAGAAATTTTATGAATCTCCTCGCTCCAGCAGAACTGTGAAAACCGTCGCAGCGCAGAGAACAACGTGTAGGTACCTAAACGCAGTCTCACCCAATCGAGGTACAGCAAAGGTGCCTTTTTCTGACATGGAGACCTTATGAAACTGCTGTAGGCATTGTACTATATAAGTATCATCAAAGTGTTGTTTGTCATTGTTACATTACCTTTCTCGTGCCATTTTTGATTATTTAATTAAACAAACTACATTTTGTTACTGAAACTTGACGTTTATTTACTGTGATTTTTGGGGGGCTTTGTGTTTATCTCTGTAAATTAAGTTTACACCAAAGTAGGTAGAACATTAATCAGCCTTTGCTCTAAGCAGACTCTTATTTTGTACTCAGTTATTCCAGTTCTTTTAAAGCTCTTTTCCTCCCTTTTTTAATCCACTTTTAGAGTATTTTCCCTCTTTTTTCCTTTTGTTTATATCTGTTGTTCTACATTTCTTTTTTATTGTTTTGCTTCCTTTCCTCCTTCCTTTTTCTTTAGTAATGTCTTAAAGGGCCATTACTTACTTTTCTTTTTTGAAAAGTTATTTGATGTAGAGATACTGCAAATGATCCTCTGAGGAATACCGTAGAACAGTGGTTCCCAACCCGGTCCTCAAAGCCTCCCAGACGGTACACATTTTCCTTTATCTAGTCCATGGAAACTAAACTGCAGAAACAGCCTGTTATGAATTTGTTTTTGTGATGTCACATAAACCTGCACATCATAGGTGGAAACAATGGGAAAGAAATCCAAAAAATATATACGCTCTTAAAAAACGATGCTTCTTCACAGGTTCTTTAGTAAAAAAAATGGTTCTATAAAGAGCCATGAACACTCGAAGAACCCTTTGCATGATTAAAGGGTTTTTTGCATCATGAAATGGCTCTTCAGAATGATGGAGAATGTGTTATATATAGAACCTTTTTGAAAAGGGTTCTATATAGCATTTTTCCTTCATCTCTATATGTTGTGAGTTAGGTTGGAACAAAAATGTGGACCATCTAGGGAGCCCTGAGGACCGACTGGGATGGGAACCACAACTGTAGAAGAAACACTTTTGTTTTAAAAAAAGAAAACTTTTTGTAAACGAGATGTGTGAATGTAAAGAACCTTTTAAAAGTGTAAAGAACCTTCACTAATGTGAAGTTTCTTTGCCCATTTAAGGGCTCTTCCTAGTACGACTGCGTTTTAGAGCCACTGTTAATAAAAATAAAAATAGTAGACTTTGAGAATAAAGTCGTAATATTTCGAGAACAAAAGTTGTAGAATTACGACATTAATGTGGCATTAACACCAGGAAAGGTCGCAGTATTGTGGCTAAAGGCTTTGCAAAGGGGAGGCAGCACCTCCTCATGTTAAATGAGGGGCGGTGAGTTGGTGGAGTTATACTGTCATATCGATTCACCCATAAAGAAACACTCAGTCTCCCTGTCTCTCCTGCACATCAGCACCAGCCTGTTATTAGTATAAGAACCGGCTGAGCAGGAAACTGTGTTTATCTAGAATAAAGAGCCGGACGGACTCGGAGGAAACTGTCTGTCTGTTTTGTTGAAAGAGAATCTCAGGCAGGGTCGTCTACATGGCTATCTGGGCTACATCTCCACACCATTCAAAGAGGGCATGAAGTTTCACAGACAGTGAGAATGATAATTAAAATGATCCACAAAGAGACAGGAATGAGTGGAACTCGGGCGCCAATACAGCAACTGAGACCCCAACGCGTTATGGCAGCCCCCCTACAGTTAGACCGCTTTATCCTCCAAATAGTACGACTTGATTCTCCAAATATGACAACTTTATTCTGGAAATATTACATCTTTTTTCTCAAAGTCTACTAATTTTATTTTTATTAACAGTGGCCCTAAAATGCCTTTGTAACCTAGAAACCTGTACAAGTGTTCTAAAAGTTTAAAACTGTTCGTGCACATCTTTTTTACAGAAGTTCCATTAAAAAGTTTCTTAGTTCCTATGGTATCCAGCAAAGAACCCTTCTTGGCACCTTTGTTTTTAAGAATGTAGTTTGTAAACAATGTTAATTTTTCAAAATGTGCTGTTCACTTTCCCATATAGTCCATATCAGGCGTGTCCAGTCTTTTCGTAAAGGGCTGGCGTGGCTGCAGGTTTTCACTCGAACAAAGCCGGAGCTCACATGATCGGTCATTTGAAAGCTGACCAATTGATTAAATAAGTGGAATCAGATGTGTTTCTGCTCATTTGGATTGAAAACCTGGAGCAACACCAGCCCATATAGTCCATATGTCTGCAGAAACAGCCTGATATGATTTTTTTTTGTGATGTCGCATAAACCTACACATTTGCATATATCCAATGCAAACAACATAGGTGGACCCAAACAAATACAGGAAATATGTACATTCTTAAAAAAGGCTTCTTCAGGGGTTCTTTGGTAAAGATTATAGAATCTTTATAGAACCATGAACACAAAAAAAGAACCCTTTGCATGATTAAAGGTTCTCTGCATCATGAGAGAGTTCTTCAGATTGATGGCGAGTGTGTTGTATGTGGTTCTAAATAGAACCTTTTTGAAAAGGGTTCTATATAGCACTAAGTGTTCTTCTGTTACAAGCTTGGCATTGTAACAATAGAAGAACCCTTTTCAAAAAGGTTCTATATAGAATCGTCTGCAGCACATTCTGAAGAACCTTTTCATGATGCAAAGAACCCTTTAATCATGCCAAGGGTTCTTTGAGTGTTCACGGTTCTTTATAGAACCATTTTCTTTACTAAAGAACCGTAGTTTTTCAGAGTGCAGGATGTGAGCCTTTGAGAGTGAAGCGACAATGTAATCATAGCACTAGATGATCACTAGGTGGCAGTCATGTGCAGAGCATCAAAGTCAGAGGGGTAGTAAAGTTTCTCAGTGCTTCCCAGCTTCACTCCTGAAGTCTGTTCATGTTTTATTGCACATAAGTTTCAGCATAAGCTGATGATCAAGTCCTGGAGGTGAATCAGGTGTGTTAGAGCAGGAAAACATGGACCGCATGACTGGATCTGAGAAGATACTGGAGTAAAAATATGAAATATTCCAGATTAAGTAGTTTGTAGTCACCTGATGAACCAGTGTTTCTTCTGAAATGAAGGGTACTAATAGGGGGTTTGTCCAGCTTTGCTGCAGTAACAGCCTCTACTCTTCTGAAAAAGGTTTATTCGAACATTGCTGTGAGGTTTTGATTGAGCATTCGTGAGGTCAGGTGCTGATGTTGGATGATCAGTTCTGGATCACTCCAGCTCATCCCAAAGGTACTGGATGGAGCTCCATTTCTCCAGAGAACACAGTTCCACTGCTCCACAGCCCGGTGCTGGGGGGCTTTATACCCTGACGCTTGGCGTTGGGCATCTTAGGTTGATGTGCTGCTGCCCCAGAGCGTCCCATTCTTTTGGCAATGCTTTTTTCTATGGAGATTATATAAACTGCCCAATTGATCACCTGTGCATCTTAAAGTCCCTAAATTCACTGATCACACCCTTGCTGAAAACACCAACACAGATGCTGGTCTGAGCTGGTCTGGTGCTGGTTTAGCTGGTCACCCCAGCATGGTCATGCTGGTTGACCAGCATACCAGCATTCAAAACACAACATATGCTGGCTTTGGTGGTGATCAGCATATTAACTTCCATTGCTGCTGAAAACCATACCAGCATCCAAAACACAACATAAGCTGGTTTTGCATATCAGATCAGTCGTGCTGAGTTTTTTCTAGCAGTGAAGTGGTGTCCAGATACTTTTGTGCATGTATTTAAACAATGAACTCTACAACCCAGCAAACACTGAAACTTTGTTCATGCTTTTTTAGACTTTATTGACCATCATGGTTAGCAGAGTTTTCATGAGCTTCAGCAAGCATATCATGCCCCTTTGTGAAGCTTCTTTTTGATTGGCTGGAAGTTACAAAAGGGGCGTGGCTCCGGTGGGCGGGTCTGTTATAAAACCCACATTTTAGCAAATCAGATGTTTTAAGTTTTACTCCTGAGTCAGGAGTCTTAAAAAGGTGCTTCTCTAAGGCTTCTTAAGTAAAGAAAATGGTTCTCTAAAGAACCATGAACACTCAAAGAACCCATTGCATGATTAAAGGGTTCTTTGCAGCATGAAATGCTTCTTCAGACAGATGGAGAATATGCTGTAGATGGTTCTATGTAGAACCTTTTTGAAAAGGGTTCTTCTATTGCTACAAGCTTGACATCATGACAATATAAGAACCCTTTCTGGTGTTATATAGAACCACCTACAGCACATTCTGAAGAACACTTTCATGATGCAAAGAACCCTTTAATCATGGTTCTTTGAGTTTTCATGGTTCCTTATAGGACCATTTTCTTCTTCTCTAAAGAACCCTTAAAGAACCATCGTTTTTAAGAGTGTATGTAGAAGGATATCATGTGGTGTCCAGATACTTTTGGACATGTAATTAAACACTGAACTCTATAACCCAACAAACACTGAACCTGTGCTCATACTTACAGCAAAGAGTTTTCATGAGCTTTAGAAAGCATACCAGGCCTCTTTCTGCAGCTTCTTTTTGATTGGCTGGAAGTTACAAAAGAGGCGTGGCTCTGGTGGGCGGTTCTGTTATAAAACCCACTTTTCAGCAAATCAGATGTATAAGGTTTTACTCCTGACTGAGTCAGGACTCGAGCTGAAGTCCAGCTTATGGATACTATCGTTTCTTTCCTGAATCAAAGAAAAATGATATCAAAATAAAGAACCATAAAATAAGAAGAGTGTAAGTTCTCCTTTAACGATAAGACTGGAGTACAGTGAGGTCAGGAATATGTCTCAGAGCTGCCGTCTGCTTGCTGGTTTCTGTCTGAGCTGTGTTGGATGGGTTGGGATCATCATCGCCACCTCCACCAACGACTGGGTGATGACCTGTAAGTACGGCATGAACACCTGCAAGAAGATGGACGAGCTGGAGACCAAGGGTTTGTGGGCAGAGTGTGTGGTCTCCACCTCTCTGTACCACTGCAAAGCGCTCAACCAGATCCTCACCCTGCCCGGTAAGACCCTCAGCACACACACACCCACCCACACAGCTCAGTCTGCTCTAAAACACTGTGAATGTGGGACTTCATTTCCCATAAGACATGTTACTTCAGCACAGCTCTTAAATTCAACGCTGTTTTTTTCTCAGGATATTTGTGGCTTTAAGTGTCTTCAGTTCTCGGTTTTGACCTTTGCATCCTCAGATTTTGATAGTGAAGAATTTTGTTTGTTAGTCCATATCTAAGCTTTGAAGGGGAATTCCACCAATTTTTCAAAATTTCTGAATGCCAGTCCTTTAGGTGTAAACAGTCATTCAGACTGGTTTGATGTAAAACGTTTCATTTGTAGAGACTCAGATATCTTTACGGTGGTCTTGATAGGAACCAGGGATCACAACGTCTACAAGTCAAATACATACATTTAATTTACTATCCAAAACCACCAGAACCTACAGGTGTCAGTTTTACATGTAATGCTGATGATGGTGAAATATTCATAAGTCTGAAAAAATAAGTTTTCTTTGGGGACTGTTTTGCCTTGAATGTACCCTCCACCGTGAATGGATTAAATACATTTTAAGTGAATTCATAACCACTTCATGTAGTAACTTTCTGTGAGGGAGCTTTTAGAGGTGGACATCTGGTTCCTATCACCACCACTGTGACTGTAAGTTTCTCTGGAACGGAGCATTTCACACCAAACCGCTCTGAATGACTTGTTGACATGTAAAAATTTACTTTATGTGTATCTCAGCTGTTAATTATGTAGAATTTTTGAAAAATCCATAGAGTTCCCCTTTAAATTCCTTTGATCTATATGTTCTCTGAGTTTTCCTGAGCACAAATGTGAAGTCAAATCCATCAATCCATAAGGCTGTAAAATGAGTGAGTGAAATAAATGTCTTTTAACAGACAGATAAGATCTGCGGCTTTTTCCTCTCCATCATACTAAATAGTAATGCTAGTAAAGCTAAATGTCTGAACGTGTCAGTTTGGTAAAGTAACTGTAAATCTGCAGCTCCTGTTCATCTACATGGAGGTTCTGTATGGAAGCTCATTCTCGCCAGATGGAGGAGAAAAATCGCCTGAGTTTGGGAGCAGTTTGTCAAAATTATTGGCTTCTTTTCTTGAACGAGTGACTTACTATCGAAAAATAATGACCTTTAATGACTCATAATAATAATAATAATAATAATAATAATTTTTAATTACTAAAAATATTTACTTTCTTGTTTTTTAATAATTCATTATTTTGGCATGGTATCTCAAAATCTTGATAAAATAAATAATTATTTCAAGGCATTAAGCCAATAGTTCCAAAAAGTACGTCGTTATTTTGATATACTAAGTCGATAGTTTAAGAAACTAAGTCATTATTTCAAGAAAATGCCATTATTTTGAGATGTTAAGTAAATATTACAGGACAATCAAAGCTTTACTTTGAGAAAATGTCGTTATTTTCAGACGTTAATATTTTAAGAAAATAGACTGTCAGTGTTTTTAAAAAAATGTCATTGTTTCAAAGAGGTCAGTCAATATTTAGAGAAAAAAATCATTGGGAGAAAATAAGTCATTATTTTGAGATATCAAGTCATTATTTTGAGATGATGTCATTATTTTGAAATAAACGTCACTATTTTGAGAGTCAGTCATTATTTGGAGAAAATGTCATTATTTCAAGATGTTAAGTCATTAATTTGAGAAAATAAGTCATTATCTTGAGATATTAAGTCAATATTTTGACCCTGCTGAGAAGAACCCTGTAAACCCTGACCAGTTCAGTTTATTTAAATTTGTGGAGGTAACTCGTTTCCTCAAATGAATTATGAAGTTTTGAAGCTCAGTTTTTCAAATTGTTTGAAATTTTGAAATTATACACTCAAACGTTTAGATTTAACGAGCAAAGTGTAAGTTTACATACACAACAGTCTGAACTTGCTGAGCTTGTTCCTCTCACTGCAGTGATGTCTGGAGTTTTCAGTCAGACAGATCAAACAGCTTTAAGGACTGAGTGAAAACAACTAACTGCAATAAAACAAGTTACTATAACTCCATTATTTAAGTACAGATGATGTCACGGCTTCCAGTGAAGCAGGCTGTGTTTTTCTCCGTCTGTGAGGAGCTGCTGTAGTTTTGTGTTTGTGTGTGTTAAATGTGTGTATGTGTGTGTTAAATGTGTGTGTGTGTGTGTTAAATGTGTGTATGTGTGTGTTAAATGTGTGTGTGTGTGTGTGTGTTAAATGTGTGTATGTGTGTGTTAAATGTGTGTGTGTGTGTGTGTTAAATGTGTGTATGTGTGTGTTAAATGTGTGTGTGTGTGTGTGTTAAATGTGTGTATGTGTGTGTTAAATGTTTGTGTGTGTGTGTTAAATGTGTGTGTGTGTGTTAAATTGTGTGTGTGTGTGTATGTGTGTGTTAAATGTGTGTATGTGTGTGTTAAATGTGTGTGTGTGTGTGTGTGTTAAATTGTGTGTATGTGTATGTGTGTGTGTGTGTGTGTGTGTGTTAAATGTGTGTATGTGTGTGTTAAATGTGTGTGTGTGTGTTAAATTGTGTGTTAAATGTGTGTGTGTGTGTGTTAAATTGTGTGTGTGTGTGTGTTAAATGTGTGTATGTGTGTGTTAAATGTGTGTGTGTGTGTTAAATTGTGTGTTAAATGTGTGTGTGTGTGTGTTAAATTGTGTGTGTGTGTGTGTGTTAAATGTGTGTGTGTGTGTGTGTGTGTGTGTGTGTGTGTGTGTTAAATGTGTGTGTGTGTATCGCCCTCAGCTCATGTGCAGGTGGCGCGCGCGCTCATGCTCTCCGCCTGTCTGCTCGGTCTGCCCTCCGCTCTGCTCGCGCTGCTGGCGGCACCCTGCGTTAATCTGAACGACGAGCGCGAGGGGACTAAGCGGAAGCGCGCGATGCTCAGCGGAGTGCTCTTGCTCATCATGGGTGAGTTTAATGTGTAATGTAATGGCTGATATGCAGAAGCCCCAAAAGTATTTGGACATTTGTGCCATACTTTAAAAATGATATATAAATTCATGATTTTAGGAAAGAAAACTTCAAACTCAGCACAGTTTATTCGCTCAGCTTTACAGCAGCTTTAAAGGTCTGTTTCTCATCATCACCGTTAGAGCACTTTCAGTCATCACTGAAACTCAGAATAATGACTGATGTTCTTGAAATATTGACTTATCGTCCATCAGTCTGATGTTGTGCTCTCTGAAACAAATATCATTGTATTAATTTTATGAATTAAACTGAAGAGCTTCATTAAAGTTCACCAATGGTTAAATCAGTAAAAAAAAAGTCCAAATACTTTTGGGGCCACTGTAAAGCACTCTGCTCATAGGTGAGTTTAATATCCACACAGGCACAATGACTGAAGTGTCCACCTCCCTGACAGGTTCACTCTGTAGGTGTACGATTACAGCAGAACTGTTACTTCATAATTTATCAGCCCCCTCTGCTCCATCACTGCTCAGTTTCTGACCACAGAAACGCTGCTGACCAGACATTATTTGCGAGTTGACTCGTTCTCAAAGAGAACAGAAACATAAAATCACTATTATTTTGTTTACATAGGAATAATTAACATTTACAAAATGCATGTGACAGACTGTGCTTGAAATAGTTAAGAGATGTAGATTTACAAGCGAGATGAGAAATCATTTTACAGTATTCTGGTGTGATTAGGTTGGATGGAAAAGCCATTTTACTGTTCTTCATTTTCTTCATTTTCCAATGCTCAAACATTTGCAGTGCAATTCATCCTACAACTACAAGACTATGCAGGATCATAGGGCCTTTACAGATACGTTGCTTTTACTCTTTTAACCAATTTGACATATTGTTCACAAAGCGTTCATTCACACACACTTTTTGCCCATAGGAATGAATGGAAAAACATCCTGAAATGGTTCTACTTATATAATATATGATGCTTATACCTGCTTAAACTCTTATTCCACCACGGTCAGTAAACACTCTGTAGCCAGTTTTTGGCTACTTATGTCACCTTCATACAAGTATGTTGGCAACACCTTAACAACCTCCGGAGTTACCATAGCATGGCCTAGCAACGCCTGAGCAACCACCTGGAATCCTAAAGCATGGCCTAGCAACACCGTGACAACCACCTGGAAAAGTACAGCAATGGCCTAGTGACACATTAGCAACCACCTGGGATATCATAGCAAATTGCTAACAACACACTAACAACTACCTATATTAGCACAGCAATGGCCTAGCGACACCTTAGCAACCACCTGGGATACCATAGCAATGGCCTAACAGCACCTTAGCAACCACCTGGGACATCACAGAAAATGCCTAACAGCACCTTAGCAACCACCTAGAATACAGCCTAGCAGCACCTTAGCAACCACTTGGAACAGCGCAACAATGGCCTAACAGCACCTTAGCCACCACCTGGGACATCATAACAAATGCCTAACAACACCTTAGCAACCACCTGGAATAGCACAGCAATAGACTAGCAAAACCTTAGCAACCACTAGGAAAAGTACAACAATGGCCTAGTGACACTTTAGCAACTACCCGAGTTGCCACAGCATGGCCTAGCAACACTTTAGCAACCACTTGGGATAGCACAGCAATGCCCTAGAAACACCCTAGCAACCACCTGGAATAGCACAGCAATGGCCTAGTGACACCTTAACAACCACCTGGGATACCATAGCAATGGCCTAACAACACCTTAGCAGCTACCTAACAACCACCAATAATGCCCTAACAACAAGCTGGAATAGCATAGCAACATCATAGCAACCACCTGGAATTACTATATAAACCCAATGAAGTTATAAAAACAATCAGTGGTCTGCAACTGCTTTAACTTCTGAAACACTCTTAGCTGGCTTTATTAAGACAGGTCAAAGTTCATTCATTCACAAACTTCCCTCTTCGAGTTTAAACATGACATCATGTGGAAAAAAAAGCTGCAAATTATTTGAAAACCTGGTAGTGAAAGAATGAAAATCTGAATGACATCATTTTTATTCAGAAAAACATCTGCAGTACATCAGCAGCTCATTTGTAGAACTGGACAGCAGCTCCGCAATGAATCAGGTCGGGTATTAGAACTGTGACGCTTCCTAAGTGAAGCTAAATGGAGGATGGGGTCGCTCACCATCTGTTTGCCAACCCCATTTCCTCTCTGGAGCCACCTCTCAGAGGGGGCTTTAAACTAGCCGTAACCCGGGTCACTTCAGATGGATCACTCTGCTCTACAGTACCCAGAGATTTCCTCCATCCTGTAGGAAGAGCCAGTCATGGTCAGCTGTCACAGAGTGACACATTTCTTACTTTCCCCCTGCTGTCATTTCCAGGAACCGGAATATTTTGGCACAAAATCAAATTTACACAGTTTCCCTTCTTGCTGCAGATGTAGTCGATCAGCCAAGACATGTTTGGTGTCTGGGGTTAATTTCTGACACTGTATGACACTGTTTTCTATTAAAAGCTAAAAAGATGGCTGCTGCTACACTGTTTAGCTGTTTTTAGCTGTGTGATCGACGTCCATTGTCCATTTGTACAGATAAACCTGATAAGCTCATCTATTTGCTATTATTTAACAACATTTTTGCCTAAAAAAGAAACTGGCACTCAGACGATTTCTGGTTTTAATTTTGGCAGATGTGTGGTGCAGTTTTATTCTGTAAATAATGCGAGGCAAGTAAGTGCCCTGTATTACAGTGCTGCTACATCAGTCAAAATGACTTACTGTGCTAATTGCCTCTTACTTTTGATGCAGCACTTTATTTAATTCATCTTATTTAACTGATTAACAACACCTTAGCAACCACCTGGGATACTGTAGCAATGGCCTAGCAACACTAGCAACCACCTGGAATAGCACAGCAACGGCCTAGCAACACCTTAGCAACTACTTGGGATACCATAGTAATGGCCTAACAATACCTTAGCAAGCACCTGGAATAGCACAGAAATGGCCTAGCGACACCTTAGCAACCACCTGGGATACCATAGTAATGGCCTAACAGCACCTTAGCAACCACTTGGAATAGCACAGCAATGGCCTAGTGACACCTTAGCTACCGCCTGGGTTACCATAGCATGGCCTAGCAACTCCTTAGCAACCACCTGGGATACCATAGTAGTGGCTTAACAACGCCTTACCAAGCACCTGGAATAGCACAGCAATGGCCTAGCAAAACCTTAGCAACCACCTGGGTTACCATAGCATGGCCTACCTTAGCAACCACCTGGAGTAGCACAGCAACATGCTTGTGTTTTATTCATGTGTTATTTACCCCACACAGTGTGAGCTTCAGATAAGAAAGGCTAATAAAAATCAGCCAATCAGCCAATGGGGTGGTAAGGAAGCAGAATCATAAAAATAAAGGTTGGGACATCCCTAATGAAACACCACTGCCTACATGATAAAAAATAATAGGCAAAAATGAGCCACAATACTTATCCACAGTGGGCTGGAGTGGCTGCAGGTTTTCATTCTAACCAAGCAGGAGCCCACCTCATATAACTGAGACCGACTGATTAAATAAGTGGAATCAGGTGGGCTTCTGCTTCTCTGGAAAATGGTAAGACTGGTGAACCCTGCTCTAAGCTTACAGTCGCTCTCATGTAAAAACCTCCAATTTTGTACATTTTTTACTTTTTTGCATTGTTTGAAAACTCCAGCTATCAACTGAGTTGGTCCAACAGAAAGTCCAAAATTATTTAGAAAAAAATACTTGTTCCATAAACCCCTTAAATGGCCAGGTTCCACCAGTGGGCCCAACACACTTAAGCTACGTTAACATTACAAGCCTCATTGTTCAAATCCAATTTTTTGCTGAAATCCAATCTCTTTAAAAGGATGGTTCACACTCGTTTAAGTAAGTGATTCAAATCTGTCATTAATGTGAACGAACCGGCATCCTGAAATGACCCTCATGTGCACATCCTACTCAGCAACGTCACGTGAATGAATCACGTGCATCATCAGCACAAACTAACGAGCAGAACGAGCTTCGCTGAGAAGATAATTAACTCTGATCAGCTCTCAGCTTCATTATTAGAGCGAGACGGAGGTGAAAAAGGTGAGATGAGCTGCTTTTCCACCGTTTACAGGCTCTAACTTCTGTTCGGCGCTGCTGCCATGGTAACACTGAATGATGGCGCACGCAGTGGAAAAAAACACATGAATTCCGATCTCAGCGTCACATTAAGGTCGCATGGCCACGAATCGGATACGTATCAGATCTAGGACCACATATGAGTGTGTCTCAGGTTGGATTTGAAAAGATCAGATTTGTGTGTCCACACAGCTCTGAAAACATCAGAACTGAGTCACATTAGGGCAGAAAATCGGATTTGTGCCGCTTTAACCTGGTAATGTGAACGTAGCCTTACACAGTTCTATAACCTCAGGATAGCTCAGCCAGTTTGCACTGAAGCCCCTGTAGTTACTGAATAATATGTCTTTGTATGTAATAAGCCTGGGATTTATGGAGTCAACTTACATTACAAGATAAGAATGATTTTCCTACACTTTTAAAAAAAGATGGTTCTTCAATGGTTCTCTCTTAGTAAAGAAATTGGTTCTTTTGGTTCATCCATAAACGCTCAAAGAACATTTTGCATGATTGAAGTTCTTTGCATCATAAAGGGTTCTTCAGAGTGGTGGAAAATATGCTGTACCCTTTCTGAAAAGGGTTCTAAATAGCATGAAAAAGGGGGGTTCTTCTGTTGTTACAATGGCAAGCTTCTAACAACAGAAGAGCCCTTATTTGGTGCTGTATCTTTTAAAAAAGGTTCTATATAGAACCATCTACAACACATTCTCCATCAATCTGAAGAACCGTTTCATGATGCAAAGAACCCTTTAATCATGCAAAGGGTTCTTTGAGTGTTCATGGTTCTATATAGAACCATTTTCTTTACTAAAGAGCCCTTGAAGTACCATCTTTTTGAGAGTGTGCTTCTGTAAAGTTTCTATTTTGGAGATTCTGGAGCATTCCTAATATCCTCTGGAACGCTATTCCGGAGTTTGGGAGCTATATAAGAAAATGACCGCCAACTGAGCTGTAAGTGATCTTACAAGTTTGCAGTAATCTCAGCTGAACGACAAGGACTGAACAGGCTATAACTCAGAGAAAAAAAATAATTAATGATCATTAATCACTTTTCATTAAGCTTAGAGACTTTCTGTAATACCGCATTTTACCTGGAAATATGCCAGTTATGATTTCAAATTCACACTGACTGTAAAATAAGTAAAAGTGATTAGAAACAGGTTGAATAGTTTTGTTTCTTGCTACAACAAAGCTATCATGATGAGAAATATGACATATATTTCCTATATCTATCATTCTTTCACTTGCCCGGTCATTTTTATAGACCGGTTCTCAGTCCAGCTTTATTTAGTCATTTAGTAACAGATCCAGCCTTGTTTATGAGATGAGCCTCTCTTTCCACAGCTGTGTGTGGAACAGTGTCCACCGTGTGGTTCCCCATCGGAGCTCATCATCAAGATGGCCTGATGTCGTTCGGCTTCTCCCTCTATGCGGGATGGTTAGGCTCCGCCCTCTGCTTCCTGGGGGGCTCCGTCATGACCTGCTGCTCGGGGGACGACGCTCCGGCCCAGCGGCCCGAGAACCGTTTCTACTACTCCAAACAGAGCGGCCTGTCCAACTCGGTCCAGGCTACTAACAACCATGCCAAGAGTGCACATGTGTGAGAGCGGAGATGTGGACTGGACTGGACTTCAAACAGGCTCTTCAGCTGAAGGAGGGAATGTTCTGCCTTTCTCTCAACACAGATGGACATACACACATACGGATAGGGGAGTTTCTGCTGCCCTGGTTTGATCGCAACCATGCGAAGATCTAACAATCTGACAGGAACAGTCTTTTATTCCAGTCTGGACACAGCTTCAGATGGACCTGGAAAAACAGGCCAAGAAGAAACTCCAATATTTCTCCTCCCTTTGTCCTCCCTATAACGCATAGCCCTTTTTGTTCTTTGCTTTGTTCGTCTGTTATTCGAAGTAATTTGCCTCAGTCTTGTACCAAGCAATGTTTATTTGTAATGCATCTCAGTCGGCTCTGGCAAGAAATCATCAGCTCTCACCTGGCCGTGTGATATATAGACAGGCAGACAGCAGACAGGCAGGAAGCCAGAGGCCAGGTGTCTTCTCCATGTTTTTTCCTGCAAAAGCTCTTCCCTCCATCCTGCTCAAAAGCTCTCAGGAAATCTGGTGGTAGGGGTGGGCAATACGGCAAAAATATTATGTTATGATACTTAAAGATATTTTGACGATATCTAAAGGGGTGGGCGATAACCTCACAATACTCGCAGACATTTTTACGATACATTGTAAATAGCAAAACAATTTTTAGTTTACGCCAGAGGGCGGCAACCCAAACGTTAAGAAGAGCCATTTTGTCCTTTCAACAAAAATCAAACCATCTTGGGAGCCACAACATTTGATGTCCATTTTACCATCTTGGCTGTAAATATGTCTCAGTGTGTATTAATGTCCTAGTAAAAGCTAAAACATTTATTATAAACAAAAACGCAGGCTTACTTTGCTCTGCTTTAAGCTTTAGCTCAGCTACAGCCACTTTTCTCACATCTCCAGCAGGAAACTTTTCCTCAAAAGTAGAACAGTTTCTTGTTAAATGTCTCTCAACCTTCAACTTTTTACGAGGCTGAAGTCGCTTCTCATTCGCCATCTTCTTGTTAGAATTTTCCTGTTCCACCTTAAATGGTGCCTGAGGCGCCAGAATGTAACTGCTGCACTATTTAAGGTGGAACGGGAACATTCGAATGAGAAACTGACTTCAGCCTCGTGACTTTTTAGTGTTTTACAGTTTCTCGTTGCAGATTAAACGTATCAGGAAACCAGCTGGAGAGATTATAAATGCAAATAAGTCCATTCGTCTCCAAATTATCAATGTTAGTCTTAAACCTTTCTTTTTGTCGTTTCGTTAGCTACTAGCTATTCGAGATTATTGTCTGCGTTGCTACGGTGACCAGCAGTCTGCGTGCCAACCTTCAGGGTTAAAGGGTGAATCAGCAGTTCTACATTAACTCCAGTGTTTTAGACCCTTTATTGTTAAACTGTGTTGAACGATCAGCAGAGCTTTATTTTACTGTAGAGGAGGATTATTTTATTTTTACCTACAAATCTAATTCTGTGCTCCACATGTTGCCGATGCCTGGTTTGCACTATATGTCCAGACATTTGTAGACTCCTGCTCATACAGCATTTGTTCTGAAATGAAGGATGTTATTAGGGAGTTTGTCCTCTTTGTTCCACCAACAGCCTCTACTCTTCTGTCAAGGCTTTACACTAGATGTTGGAACATTGCTGTGAGGATTTGATTGAGCATTAGTGAGGTCAGGTGCTGATGTTAGATGATCACTTCTGGATCTCCAACTCACCACAAAGATACTGGATGCTCCACAGCCCAAAGCGGGGGGCTTCATACCTCTCTAGATGACTCTTGGCATTGTGACTTGTGCAGCAGCTCCAGCTTGTCGCATTCAACTAGCAACTTTTCTACAGAGAGTAACCTGTATTTGTGCAGCTGAGCCCCTGAGTCAGCAGTGGGTGCACCTTAAAGTAGCTAAATTCACTATTTCAAAGGATACTTTTGGACATACAGTGGACATACAGTGCAACATCAAAAACTATGAATACAAGGAGTTTAATGTCACATACTGCATTGTACTCAGTCCCAAACAGTAATAAATACGCTCTTTTTGTGATGACACATGCAGTTGTTCATTGCTGATATCCACAATGAAAGCATATTGTGACATTATTTATCAAATAAATATTGTTATATTGCCCACCTCTACTGGAACAGACACGCTGCACCAGCAAAACAGTAGCCCAGGGGCGATCCTAGGATCAGAGCTTTAGGATGAGACCAGTTCCACCCCCACCACTTCCCCCCGTTTTTTTTTTTCTTATATCTTTTATCATTCTATAACATTAATCAGCTGATCAAATACAGACAGTACTAGTCTAGCACCTCGGCTTTAATATCAACACACAGACCGACCAATGGCACAACAGCTCACGTCTCTCACTCAAATTTAGACAGTGGACGGTCGTTGATTGACAACCTGCAACATTAGCTTGATAGAAAAACATCAGATAGCTGCAATAACAACACATAGAGTGATCTGTGAGGACTGCTGCTAATGACTGTAATGTGTTGGTGCTGAGTGATAAGAACTTACTGGAGCCACCACACCACACACGTCACACTGTAACTGGTTCTAGTGTGCGCACGTATGTGTGTGTGTGTGTGTGTGTGTGTGTGTGGGTGCGGGCGCTCTGTGCTGCTACTGCATGGCTTTGGGGTCAGCGGGGCGGAGAAGAATAGGAGAGAGAAAGCTGATCATAACATTTGCTTATCAGAGACAAATTTCTGTAAAAAAAAAAAAACAACAGCTTTTTACTCTTATTTTTAGGGGTGCTTGAGCACCCCTAAAAATGGGGCTAGATACGCCGATGCAGTAGCCTGACATTTTTTAAAATGAATATAAATCCCAGAATAAATCTCGTTTTAGTTAAAAACATCAGTTCTCTATTCTGTCAATGTTTAAGTACTGACAATCCCCACAATATGCTCAGAAATCTTGAAGTTTGCTATCATAATAGCGATATCATATTGCCATATTGGCCACCCCTACAGCAATTCCTTCTGAATACCTTAAACAGGGACTATTTTCCATTTTTCCCCTCATTTCCTTATATGTAGTCTTGTCACATTTCATTAATTCTTTCATCATCTTCATGTTCTCGCCGGGCGCTGAAGATGTAATACTATTCAGACAGGCAGTCTAGCATGATGCTTCTGAATTGCCTGCAATTACAAAGACTCATCTTATCTGGCCTGGCCTGGCTATCAGAATAATATCTCTATTATTTTGGTTGTATTAAAAATGTAAGGAGTTGCTTTTACCTTCCAAATGTGGCACAGACACAAAAAAGTAATTGTGACCTATATTCACTGTATCATATTTTATTTGAAATACATTAATATGCTTTTATCAAACAACGTTCAACAAAATCACTCTGGACCTAAGTATATTTACACACGCATGTGAAGTCAGAATGAATTTATGCGCATAGCTGAAATATACCGAAGAAATATAAACATTTTCATACACATTTGAACAGTGGGGGGGGAAAAAAACACACAAGTGAAATATTCAGCAAACCACCATAGAAATAACTTGATATCGATGTTGCGTGGTATTTGGAAAAGGCATGTATTATGTGCACAGCAAATGCCAGTTATAATATTTCTGTACACTGACCTTTTAAATCAAGACAGACTGAATGTTGATAGTGCAGACCACACTGTCCATCTCTCAGAAATGCCTGTGGATCGTTTAACATGACTTACATCGCTTTTTTAGGTAAAATAAGAGAAACAAAAGCATGCATTGTGTGATTTTTGTTCCATGTGGACTCTGGAATGAGCTTAATGTACTCACATACACCAAGACACACGTACAGACACACACAGAGTGTCATGCTGACTGCAAAGAGAGCTTCTGAGACCATCCATGACATTGGAATAACTATCTCATGGGGAAACTGGAAGGCACTAGTGAACTTTCAAACAAGTTTGGAGCACATCCTAATCTCCTGCACGGACCTTTTCAGCTCCATCTGAAAATACAGGGACCATCATCGTCATCAGCCCTATTCAAGCTGCATTAGTTTTACTCAGGGAGGTCACTATTATTTAAAAGGCCCATGTCATGGCTCTCCAACAAGATCCTTGATTATAATGGAGTATGAATCTGCAGTATCTTGATATTTTACAAATCTGGTAGTAATAACAGTGTTAAAGGACTGAATTGCCTTGCATAAACTGACTAAACCTAAACCTGGAGCTTCCACACTAACATCAGTCCTCATTAAATTGAGCTCATAGTCATGTATTTAAACTTGGTAGAATACATGGCCATGAGCCGTGTTGTTATTGTTATTGAGGGGGACGCCTGTTATGGAATGCTGACTTCACCATGCAGGAAGTGACATTTGAATTTGGTAATTTATCCTTACAAATGAGCTGGTCAAATCTTCTAAAGTACATAACAGAACCTCGTCTGGTTAAACTATTCCAGCTTGAATAGTGCTATAAATATCCAGCGATTTTACGAGTGCACACTTCTTTCAAGCGAATAAAAAAACAGCATTGAAATCCAAACAAAAACTTGTTCAGGCAGAAGAAACAGCTGTGAGACCCAACACTAGTTGCCTCATAGACAAATCCTTACTCAGGCGAGTATTCTGTGTCATCATTGACCAGCTCCTCAAAGCCCTTCTTCCTCCTGCCTCTGCCTCTGGATTTCTGACTGTTGGAGGATGTTGTGTGTTCGTCGTCTTGCTGCTGGTACTGGTTCTGGTACTGATAGCCCCTGGCCTCCGCAGCCCAGCCCTGATAGCAACCCTCTTCTCCGTCCTCCTGTTGCTGGAGGTCATCATCCACAGTGAAGCTGTCGTCCACCCCGGCGTCGTATCTCTGATAGGAGCTGGCGTGGGCCTCCTCTTCTCGGGCACTCAGCTCCAGAGAGCTGTTCCACATGCCATAGCCAAAGTAGATCATGAGACCTGTGCAACGAGAGAAAAGACACAAACTGCAGATGTCCATTACAGGTCAGTCTCAACGTGCAGAGATTTAATCCATCTTGTTAAACAGGTGTTTGGTTTAACAAATTCATTTGTGAAATTTTACCTCTAGCCCCAAATGTTGTTGATCAGCCAAGACATGCGGTCTGAAGTGCTTAGTTTGGCTCTGGCGCTATGAGGCTTATGTAGCTAACAAGTAATGGAAGCTTACAGCCACCAGATGAACAATGAGCAAACTGTATTTCACAAATAAACTTGCTTATGTGGCTGCTAGCCTAGCCACTGAAATATAGGATAATAAATACCATTGAGCTAGCATGTGGCTGCTGACTGCTAGCCTAGCCACTGATATACTGGATAATAAATACCATTGAGCTAGCATGTGGCTGCTGACTGCTAGCCTAGCCACTGATATACTGGATAATAAATACAACCAAGCTAGCATTAGTG